TGAAAAGCAGCCCCATCATTCTATACTGATAGAGTCCCCTGTTCTGTGCCACTGCTTTCACCACTTCTTCAGTAATTGGTAGATTGTTTCGATATTTAAAAAGCAGCCCCATTATTTTATATGAATAGGGTGCCTCATTCTGTGCCACTGCTTTCACTATATCTTCTGTCACTGGCACATTGTCTCGATATTTCAAAAGCATCTCCATTGTTCTGTATGCAGAGATTCCGTCGTTCTGTGCCACTGCTTTCAGTATATCTTCTGTCACTGGCACATTGTCTCGATATTTCAAAAGCATCTCCATTGTTTCATATGCAGAGGCTCCGTTGTTCTGTGCCACTGCCTGTACCACTTCTTCAGTAATTGGTAGATTATCTTGATATTCGAAAAGCACCTCCATGATTTCAGATCCAAGGCTACCGTTATTCCCTGCTGCGACTTTGACGACTTCTTCCGTAATTAGTATATTATCCGGATACTGAAAAATCGCCTTCAGCATGGCTGGTCCAGCCATTCTTGTGTCTCCTGTTGCCATTTTGACTACTTCTTCAGAAACTGGGATGACTCCTCCCAATTGAGCCAGTAAACGTTTTAATGGGCTTACATGCAAATGTTCGCTCTGTTGTATTATCTGCGTTGCAATCCCATTAACAATGGCCCTCAGATCGTTTAAGCGCTTCTCCGTGTCTGGACATTTCTTCTGGTAATGAGGCGCGATGCGAGTGAGTTCCAATGGACCTTTGAGGTAAAACTCATTTTCGGTATCAGACATGGGTATTGTCCAAGTAAGAGTAATATCAAACGGCGGGCGTTGCCGTGAATCCACGGCATGAACAGACCCCGTGTCTAGAGTTCTATTCTGATAGACTTGCTGAGGAGTTATTGCGATATTAATTATTGCAAAGTGGTCTCCCAATGCTCTAATGATGCATGGATTCGAACTCCCCCCTAAAAGACACAGAATATCACCGCTTTCAGCTGATTCTGCGGTGGCTTGTATCACCCAATTAGAACCCCATTTCGCTTTAAAGACCACTGAATCTTGAGAATCGTTGAAAACGATGTTGATCATCTGTAGGTTATTCTCATGTATAGCTCCGTCCAAGTAAATGTATCCCAAAATCCAACATTTAGTGTGAATGATGGCCATTTCTTTGTTGGGAAAGGTCTCCACAGAGCCTTCACTGGAGAGAATATACTGAATGGTAGTGTTAAAGACTTGATGCCATGGGAGGTTGTAATCAGGTTTCAACCCTGGCGTATTCGGGTCATCAGCAGTTAGGCCTAACAAAGCATAAATTTTATCATGCCTTGTTGAAGACATGTGGTAGCGATACATATCAATCAGCTCCCCAATATATAAGCTTCCCCGTAACCTCGAATCATTTCTTGGTCGAAACTGTGCCCCTCTAATCAGATACACCACTGGGTGGATCAGCCTTAGTAAGGAAGGAATTTCTAATTGACTGAGCCCTTCACAGAATGTGGACCCATTGATCTGGATAGAGCCACACATAATCTCAATAGACCGAGCAACGCCGGCTTCTTGGAGCACCTATTTTCGGGTGTCAGTAAGTTCATACGGAAAGCTACAAACCGACGTACCCAGATCCGACGAAACCACTTTCGCTGTAGCAACTTTAGACAAGGCTCACTGCTTGATTGCGCCCGCTTAGTATCCGAACCTTTGCCACCCATGGCTTTCTTCTTCGCGAGATCACGAATGGTTTCAAGTGCTGTATCACCATGTTCAAATGCGTCTCCAAGCCAGACAATAACACGATCAGCTTGCGCATAGATCGTCCGCATCAGTGGGATCTGCCTGCTTTTCTCATCCAAATTCTCTTGGTTGATACAAATTGCATCAATCCACAACACCCTCTCCAGCTGACGGTCTCGGAGGTTGACCAGGGCTGCATGAAGGTTCACTGTGATGGGGACAGTATGGCCGTGTACTATTATTTTCTTGCGCTGTTCAGCACTGCCCTCTTCATCGCCAGACCAGACATAGGACAGAGCTTCGTAAAGATGCTTTCCACCCTCTATCTCCGTGAGATCGTAGGTGAACAGTTCGCATCTTATCTCGGCGTGCTTTTCCTTGTTCGGGAAGAGGCGAACCATGCGCGTAGTGTTAGGCCCCAATGGGAGCGATTTATACACGCCCGAGGCCATGACGGCTGGAAGGATATGTTACCCGCAAAGAGCATATATTCTCAAGTCAAAGGAGCTAGAAATTTGTGAGAATAAAGAAGAATAGTGGGACCATCGGTACTCCAGGGCGTGTTATTGAATCACTTTTGGTGATGCACGGGCGGGGCGTGACGGCTGATGTGGCGCCTTGTTATAGGCGGTTGGAAAGCGATCGACGAGGCTGTGTATATGATTTGATTTGATCTAGTCAGGTGCAGCTGAACTGAGCTCTATACGAAGCCGCCGCCAGAGTATTCGATTCTACCATTCGGTCCATGGTAGATATTTTTCGTCTTTCATCACCAATGTACTCTTAACTAGCGGACTGGCTGTGTACCGGATTCAACGACTTGATCTGTTCCATATCAGCGCTCGCCTGCTTTCGTAAATCTTTGTAGACACCACAATTAAGCCGTTAGGGACTACAGATGCCTGTGTTTGGGGTAGCTTCATCGTAAAGCCGACTTTCAGCCTGGTGTGTGAGTCCATGGAAGATATAACATCACTGGCAGAATTCAGTAATGCCTGTATAGAGATGTAGAAAAACGGCCTTGATAGAAGTCAAGGCCGACTCTGCAAAAGGCTTATCTTTATACAAGTGTATTTGATTGGTAAAAACTAAAAGCAGACATTCAACAGGTTCAGTGGCACTGGCAGCACGCTTCCGGGGAAGTGAAATATGTTCATCCTTTGGACTGGCAAATATGCATACACTAAAATGCGTCTTATACTATGTTCCCAAAACGTTTATCGATGCCTCAGGCATATTTCGGCCTAAGTCTATCACAGCGTCTTACCGACCAACGCCAACCACATTGACGCTTCCTCATGTAGAGGCAAAAGGGGAGTATCATCCGAATCAAGAAGAAATCCTCCATCTGGGGTCGGAATATCCCCTCGGCGCGGTTTGTTTATAAGCCCAACCGAGAACACACGCCATGTGTCCCATAGAAAAAGCCCAAGACGTCGAAATGGCCGCACATCCAGCATCGCGGCTGAACTTGGAGTGCGCCGCAGAAGCATCCTGCCAGATACGATGAACTTTCTGCTCTGCAATGACGAGTGGCCACACGCATCCGCCCCGCGATGCCAGATATTTATGGCGGGAGTACTTTCCGGTACCGGTTGAGGGCTCCAGATGAGGTAATTCTCAAAGCTGAACTCAAAGGATGTGAATAGAGGTATAGGTGGCTCGTCCTGATGACCCCGGGAGGCTTCTAAGGGCTCCTGCTGTTCAGCGTCCCCGTAGGAGGGATGTAGTCCCAAGTCCGAGAGAACTGCGGCCACTGTGGACATATATTCCTTCCTGGGTATATCCATTTCGTTCCGGATGGCACACCCATATATCCTTTGTACCGAATCTTCAGGCAGTGTCTCCGCCCTCTCACAGAGAATAGAATAGTAGGCCAGATGCCACAGAGCCCAGTATACCCTGTATTCCTCAATCCATGAGAAAGGCTCGCTCGCTTTCTGTGCTCGGACAGCACCACTCAGGGAGCCAGCGGGAGTGGCCCCCACCGCAGCGATAAATTTTTGCTGCGCGGTAGACAGGCATACACATGCTAACCGCTGAATCTGCGCCCCAATATGAACTATTTGATGCAGTTCGGTAAAGCTCATCTGCCGAGGGAGAACACTGGATGCGCTCTCACACATTACCCCGATATAGTCTTCCAGACTGGAGCGATGTACCGTAGGAACCAGGGCCATGTTTCGAACTAGATTTCGAATTTCAGGCATTGTAGTCATGGAGTTTGATATTATGAGACCCTCCGTGATTCTGTACGGCTGAGCCTCGAAAACAGCATGAACCCATGGTGAAACTACTAGCAGACTTTGCGTGCCAACAAAATCAGCAGCATAGTGAATAATGCGTATAATGATTTCAGGGGGGAGGTTTTTAAAAGCAGCCATTATTATTTTAAATGTAGTAGAGAGGAAGTTGTAACAGAAGAAGCTCAAGTGAGTGGTTGCAAGGGAGGAAGCGTCTAACTAAATTAGTTGCCAGTGTCCATCCATGTTTGCCAAGCCAGACACAGGAAACAGCCCACTTAATTTTACGTACTTAGACTGAACTCTGCACCCCATCCTTGAACTCCTATTCCGAAAGCTTTTCTTTCCCCTTGGTTCAGGACTAGAAAATAAATTCCCCTTGAGTATCAACGGGGTTAAGAGTTGTAGCTGTGCCCTCCCCCCTGCCTCCCCCCTAATGTTTACTTCCTTCCTCTCCGCTTCTTCTTATGAACAGGGCTGATTTCGAATAGAAAATGGACCCAGTCCTCTGGCTGGTTGGTTTTGGCATTTGTGTGGCCAGTGGTCTTGAATAGCGTCACCTTGCTGGGGGCCTTCACTCCCAATTCTGGCTTGTGGTCCATGAGGAAACGGGCTACACCGGCACCATTGGGAGTTCCCAGAATCGCCTTACCATCATCAGTGGACATGTCATAGGATTTACCCGGCCATTCTTCCACCATGCTCGTGTCCCTAGGCTCATCTTTCTTTCTGGGTGGAAGAGGTTTTCCACTGGCCACCTCCAGAGCAACATCCAAGGAGGCGTCGTTGATCACATGGTGGCGGATAAAATATTTGATATTTTTTAATTCGGCCTCCGACTTGCCCGCCACTTCCTTCCAGAGTAAAAAGTAAACATCTGATAGTCTAGATATAGTTGGAGAGGGGTCTGTCCTTCTATCCTCAGCAATTATGTGGGCTGGACTTATATTGTCTTCTGCGGAGATGTAGCCCGCCTTGGTGCTTATAGTGGCCATGTAGAAGCCACCTGTAGCCTGAAAGAAACCCAGTGAGCCGTGATATAATCTATTGCCTCGGAGGCCGAGCGACTTACCATATAGTTTAAGTTACCAACTTTATATGGCTGATCCTGATGATAGATCAACCCCTTCAGACCTCGATCTCCTATATTAATGGGCAGGCCTTTTGCGGCCATTGCCACTGGAATTTTTGATCCTGTCTCAGTAGGGTTGCCGTTGCTCACTCCGTAAGATCGTGGGGACCAATCATTGTTGAACGTTTTAAAATCCGTGAGCTCGGAAGGTAAATCGATTGGTTCTATATCCTCTAACTGGCACATATATCCTCTGCCTTTCTCGAGTGCCTCGGCCCTGTTCTTAGGAGCGGCACGCTTTGATAGGAGATGAAGCTCAGTACCAAGCTCCAGCCGGGGCTGAATGGTCGCATCATCGAGCACTGAGCGCTTAGAATGAGTGGGAAGGCGGATACGATCAGACTGGGTGCCATGGTAGATGCACAAGAGTGCAACAAACGCAAAAAGGAAAAAGGAAAGGAAACGAATGACTGGGGTTCTCGGTGCCATTTTGTCGATGCCCCGGATTTAGGAAAATAACCCCCCTCCCAAGAAAGAAAGAAAGAAGAGAGAGAGAGAGAGAGAGAGAGAACGAATGAACAGTATAAGAAAAGATAGGCTTGAAATGAGGGTCTGGTACCAAGTACAAGGCAGTGAACGTCAACAAAAGACGAACGAGCCGCTGGCTCTGTCCCTTTTAAAGGATGGAGACAATACTACACACTTCAAAGATGACTAGCTGCTTCAAGATATGTACAGAAATTATGGAACAGTCCATTATGCTCATAGGATGGGTGTTCAGGGGGATCAGGAATAACTGCTACGAGGTATTTCTCTGTCTTCCATGTTGCCATGCCGAGCATTTCCCATTATACATCGTATGGCTAGTATAATAAAAACCCATGTACCTATTAGCCAACGCAGTGAAAGCTAGTCTTCCAGGGTATGAGAAGTTGGCTTAAAAAACGATGTTGTGGAGCCGCCGCCTGCGCTATTACAGGTGAAACTTCCATCGGAAAAAACGGCGTCAGAACAGCACTTTGCCTAACCAATGCTCCGTAGATATCGCAGCTTAGGACGAACACTAGTAGGGATTGCCGACATATGGCTATTGTAACTAGCGCTTTATGACGTTATGGATTCGGTGGGTCCGTTCTGTCCATTCCCCATCCTAATGCTACCTTGCTACACCTGAAGCGGAAGTAGTACTAGATGATTGTACGGAACCTATTTGGCGCCAAGGAGTAGTTTCTACTATGCTCTAGATATATCCTTGCAATGCTACTGGAAGACCTACCATCATTGCTTTGCCCCTTCTCCAATATCCAATCCCTCGGTACACCTCTTTATCCACGGCTGCAAGGTCTTGCGACACCGGCACCGTGCAATTAAGCGCTACTTGCTGCCTACCTGTCCTGTAGATATTAGGTTCGCCGTCGTGGACTAGGTACTTGTAGGCAGTTTGCGCCCTGGGCCCAATTGTGGAGAATTTGATGCGATGTAGGATCATTGGGCATTCCTGGAAACGTGCACATGCTCGGAAGGCTAAATTACTAATGTGGGTAGTGTTTAGTGTTACATAGCGAATGGACCTACTCCGAGCTAGCAGCAACCATAGCGGGCAAGATTCTATAGTTTCATTACTGTGGAAAACTCAATATGCCAAGCCGTAGTTAAGTAGTACCATATTCAGGTCAGATATCTCTGGGCTCACTATCTCTTTGCCTAAAGGTTAAAAGCCTGTACCCAGCAACGGAAGAGAAAGAAGCACCGATAGAGACAACTGGGAAGTCCATAACCCCCGGTAGATCTATTCTTTCAGTAGTTCAAGTAGCGTTGTATGGCAGGTCTCCGGTAGCCTGGTTTTGGCGGCTGGCAACTGCCCCGTTGGCTATAGAAGTGAACTTACCTAAATACAATGGCTTCAGATGGCAGTTAGGATTACGTACAGGATAGGGGATATGTATCCTGGTTTTGTTTTAGGGGCTTAGCCGTTAGTTAGTATGCAATAGTTATGGACAGGGGACAATTGTATCAGACCACTACTATCAACTTGTGGAATGGAGTAGAGCATTAGCTCGTCGGAGCTGTTGGTTTGCTCCATAGCGCTTTTTTCAAGGTTTGGCCAAGTGCCTCGATTGTCCTCCCTCACAATCGGCTGGACGGGGTGTGTGAGGTGAAGCTCATTTTGTATGTGACATAAAGCGATATAAAACGAGGCTTGGTCCCCTTGATAGCCGACTCTTCAGTATCCCGTTGTTCATTTCCCCAAGTCTGCACACTCATTGTTAACATTTTTCTTTCCCTTTCTTTCAATTCTCTTTCTCTTTTCTTTGAGTCATTGCTTTCTTTCATTCGGGGCAGAATGCCCTCGCCATTCTTTTTCCTGGCTCTGTCTCTGTCTCTGACACATTCCATCCAGGTTGCTGCAGACCCTAGTTTTGATGCCTGGTCCCAGGTGTGGAAACCCTGTCCAAGGGACTGCAGCGAAATCCCATCTCCAGATGAATGGGCGGTCTATAGCAATGTGGATCAACTGGCCACTTGCAATCAAACTCTGCGTCTAGACTTTCCTTTGTACAATCCCTCAAATCCGGCCATTCGCGCCTGTTCCGCATCTCCAAACTACCCAGCTGCCAAGTCTCAGTCTCAGGCCCTAGTCTTGTCTGGGTTTACTGATCAAGAAGTCACCCTGCAAATTGGCTGGTGGAATACGGCTACGTCTTTACCATCGGCAGGCGTAAAGTCTGCTCTGGAACATGTCCGAAAGGCGCTCCTAGTCTCAGAGAATGAGAAACCGACGACTGCGTATAGCTACCATGGGAAGTCCCTCATTGGAGTGTACGCTGGACGGGAGGTTCAGCACTCGGACGCTGCCACCACTGTATTCCAAGAGTTCACCAGTCATATTGAATCGCAGGATATGGTCGGCCGAATTGCCCTGCAATATTGTGGAGAGAATTCCAATAAAGCGATTGGTATCGTCGTTGATGCCAGCGGCGACCTCGCAGCTGTGCAGCGCATTGTCCGGGGCTGGGTCGACGGGGAGTGCCACACCGACTTTGACGGTGTCAAGGAGCTCCCCCAATCCATCCTTCATATGCAAGATGGTGCAACATCGGGCCCCGTCTCCACATCGTCGAGTCGAGGTGTCACCGGAGAAGGCCGCTTGCATTCTGATCGAGGGCGGGCTCATTCCCATCAACGACGAGCCATTTGCCGTACGATCCAGGTTGTTCCTGGAGACTCCTGTGGGGCGCTGGCCGAGCGGTGCGGACTCTCTCCGGCAGACTTTACCAAGTTCAACCCTGACAAGAAGCTCTGTTCCTCGCTGCAGCCGGACCAGCATGTGTGCTGCTCAGCAGGTACATTGCCCGACCTTCGGCCGAAGCCGAACGCGGATGGAACCTGCACTTCGTATGTTGTCAAGACAGATGAATCCTGCCACAAATTAGCAGCTGCCAACGGCCTCACGCAGGAGGATCTAGAGACATTCAACAAGAACACCTGGGGCTGGAGTGGGTGTGGCCGGATCCAAGTCCAGCAAACGATCTGTGTTAGTGAGGGAACGGCCCCCATGCCCTCGATTGTCGACAATGCTGTGTGTGGTCCGCAAGTTCCAGGGACCACAAGGCCAAAGGACATGAATGAACTTGAGGGTCTTAATCCTTGTCCGCTCAACGCGTGCTGTGACGTTTGGGGTCAGTGTGGTATTACCGACGAGTTCTGCACCGAGAGCAAGTCTTCCACCGGGGCCCCTGGTACCGCGGCTCCCAACACGAATGGCTGTATCTCGAACTGTGGTACCGATATCGTCAATAATAACAAGGGCCCGGATGAGTTTATCAGCATCGGCTACTTCGAGGCGTGGAATGCTGAGCGTGGCTGTCTAAATATGGACGTCACCAGCTTCGATACCGCCGTCCACACTCATCTCCATTTTGCCTTTGCGGAAATTACAGAGAATTACGAGGTGGATGTTTCCATGGTCCATACTCAATTTAATAAGCTGAAGAGCATGGGCTCCGTCAACCGTATCCTGACATTTGGTGGATGGTCCTTCTCGACAAGAGCGGATTCCTTCCCGATCTTCCGCAAAGGCGTGTCGGCTGAGAACCGAGAGGTCTTTGCCACCAACGTGGCTAACTTCATTGTGGAAAATGACCTTGAAGGCGTGGACTTTGACTGGGAGTATCCTGGAGCTCCTGACATCCCCGGTATCCCTCCTGGTGACCGCGATGATGGAAAGCGATATCTGGAATTCTTGAAGATGGTGCGGGAAAAGCTACCCTCTGATAAAAGCGTGGCGATTGCTGCCCCAGCCTCGTTTTGGTATCTAAAAGGCTTCCCGATCGAGGAGATTTCCAAGGTAGTAGACTATATTGTCTTCATGGCCTATGATCTGCATGGGCAGTGGGACTACGGCAATAAGAACTCGATGCCAGGATGTCCGGATGGAGATTGCCTCCGCTCTCATGTTAATCTTACCGAGACGAATACTGCTCTGTCCATGGTGACCAAGGCTGGAGTACCATCGTCCAAGATCATTGTTGGGGTGAGTAGCTATGGCCGGTCGTTCAAGATGACTGAGCCTGGCTGCTCTGGTCCCATGTGCACATACGTCGGGCCCCAGTCCGCTGCGAAGCCCGGGAAATGCACCACTACAGCAGGCTACATCTCGGACGCAGAGATCAACCGAATTTTGGAAGAGGATCCCACCGCCAAAAAGACCTATGATGTGTCCAGCGACAGCAGCGTCCTTGTCTACGACTCCACGGAATGGGTGGCTTACATGGACACTGACATCAAGAGAAATCGCACCGAGCACTACCGACAACTCAACATGGGCGGCGTATCGGACTGGGCGGTTGATCTTCAGTCATTCGCCAACAGTCCTCGGGGTAGCAACAACTCTCCCGAGAACCAAACCGTTGTCTATGTTGACCCCATCCTTTGGACGGAAGAGGACCCGCAGGTAAGCTGCCCAGCGCCTTGTGCTCTCGTCCTCCCCAACTATCCTCTCAGCTCCACCACCGTTATCGCTCCTCCGCCGCATGTGACCACGCTGGATGTGGCCTGGCCAACCCAGACGGAGATAACCAGGTCCAACGGGGAGGTAATCACCACCACCACCGTCACACGAATTCTCCAGGAGACCACCATTATTGCTCCGCCAGGTAGGGCTTTCCACGATTCCCGTGGAATGGGACTTGACTAATGCGAAGACTCTCAGTTACGGTGAGCGAACTGCCGATGGCCAATATCAATATCACTATTCCACTCGACGACAACGAAACACTGACAATCCAGCCGAAGCCACGGTTCCCTCCTGTGATTGTCACTATTACGAACGATCCCAACCCATTGTCACAAACAGGTGTCTTACATCCTCCAGTGACACGAAGCGTGACTGTGCCCCCCTGGCCCCAGACCACCGTCATCTATATTCCACCTAAGGAACGCACCGATGATGAGGATGATAACACAAATACAGATGACAAAAACAAGGACAATGATAACAAGGACGACAAGGATAAGGACAACAAGGACAAGGACAACAAGGACAAGGACAACAAGGACAAGGACAACAAGGATAAGGACAACAAGGATAAGGACAACAAAGATAAGGACGACAAGGATAACGATAACGATAACAAGGGCAAGGACGGTAGTCATCACAGGATCAGGTTCCCACGTATACCCACAATCAGGGTGACTCACGGCCCCGGGTCCCCAGCTTGCAAAGGACAGCACTGCGGCAATCTGTGCTCCGACAGTTTTTGCGGGTGCAAACTTGGCTGCGGTGGTGGTGACAACGGATTCTCCGATCCAAGCGACCCCAATCCTCCCCCAGTGCCCCCCTCTCCAGGGGATCCCAAGGACAAAGATTCGTGCACGAGTTCTTCGGTTACAAACTACTGGGTCTCATGCGACTCCAAGACTGAGGGCCCGACCACAACCTCCTGCACTACCACGAAAAGTCTGGTGGCTGTGGGATGCGATGTCACGGCCACTACGACAACCACCGGTGTGGAATATTGCCCTACGGTGGACCCCAATGATCCCCAGGGAGAAGATGGCGGCATATATAAGGCCAAGCGCACTAGTGCTGCGAAGACGAAAGAGCCGCCAAAACCTACCACCTCTTCCGAAACGACCACTACCACTACCAAGACCTCGAAGACATCCTCCCCACCGTCCGCGACGGCCGCTAGCGGCTGCAGTAAGGTTGGCAGCGGGCGCAGCCTGACCCGCCGCTGCTGGAACAAATGCGACCCAGGCACGGGCTCGCCCGTTGGTGGTGACTGGGCGGCGAACGACCCCTGGTGCTGGATAGCTGAAAGCGGCAGCAATTCGTATGCCAATTGTTTGAAGCAATCCGACTGTCCAACTGATTTTGAATGCGAGGAATCATGGGGTTGCGTTGTTCCACTGTCCGGTGGGTGTGCGCCTCAGGGCGGCAAGACCGGGTTAGGTAAAACCTGCTGGAGCAGCTGCAATGAGAAAACCGGGAAGCGGACGAATGATAAGTGGGAAAAGGGCATGTCGTGGTGCTGGCTACAGAATGGCAGATTTGCCAGCTGCCACGAGGATGGCGACTGCAGTGCCACCACGGAGTGTGTCCCTGACCATTGGTCTCACGGTGGATGCGATACTAAGAGCAAAGCCTGGGAACTGGATGAAAGCACATAGTGATCACGATATGGGGTGGGCTTGGGGTGGCACATGGTGGAATGTACCTAATTTAGGGCTTAGGCGATACAAGGCATTTAACCAAAAAACCAACAGTGCCCGCGAGTTCCCTTGCGGGCCCTAGAGCGTACTACGTAGGCGTACTCAATAGTTTAAGGTCTACGTGCCTTGCAATTACACAAGACATTTATATTATATTTATCTATAGAATATTAAATTTAATCAATTTAGCAAATTAACGCTCTCTCTTATACATTATCAGAGTCTTAATTCAGATAGAACATCACAGAGGATTTGCTCAGCTATAAATATATAGTCGAAGTTGCTGCCAAGGCATATTAAATTTATACAATAACACAGAGATATTGGATATTCTTTTCTTTTTTTTTTTTTGCCTTTCTAACAATTCCACAGACTTCTAAGATATATATCTCAATATTAAACAGAGAATTAAGTATGTTAATGGGATATAAGGGCTTAATAGCTTTAAATGTATCGTACGGGTGGGAGTGATCGTTTGGGGTTGACAGACCTTCACACCGGCGGGCGGGTGGGTCCGCTGAGTAAGAGAGCTTCTGCGGTCTGGGAAAATGAGAGCAATACAAATCCGTGTCAAGATTCAACAGACGAGCTCAAAATGGCTTTCCTCAAATTCAGGTTAGAAGCTGACAAAAGGCGCCGTGGCCCAGTCCCAATAGCCGCTGCTGTATCCTCAATGGGGCAAGATGGCAATGTGCAGCATCGTTCCCATGGAGGGGTTACCCCCCAGGAATTCTCCGATGAGAGTCCCTGCAATACAGTTCCGGCAAGCCATGCAAGCACCAGATTTGAACCAACCACTTTCCCTGAGCTGTTTACTGCTAGGAATGACTCAAGGGTTCGTTGCAGCAAAAGGTCAGGAACCTGTTGGCTTGATCGGGCCATAATCTGGGGCGTGACTGACGCGAGGATCAGAGAAACCCCCAATTTACGGCGGGGGACAGCCTGTACTGAATGCAGAAGGTCCAAGACTCGCTGCAAAAAGCTCACTACAGGGGTTACGGGGGGTTGCCTCCGATGCTTGCAGCAGAACAAGGAGTGTATACTGTATCCGCCGTCGCAAAGAGCTTCCGTCGAAAATTCTACGACCCGGGTAGCTTCACGTTCGTTCTGTCCTAAACGGCATGCGCAACAATCCCATAGCGGAACAGCCTTACCTGATCGTGAAGAAATAGGAGGGAGACTTGAAACTGATTCCGACTTGGACATGGACCCATCTGTGACGTTTCCAGGGGAAGTCACAAAAGCCACATTTCGTGAGTTTTCAGGGATCGAATTCTCTTGTTTCGCGATTATATCACATTCTAGAACTGCTGATGAGTTACAATAGCCTCACACCCATTATCCTGCAGTTCGAGCGAGCAACTCGGAATTATGATACAGTCGATCGTCAGTCCGAAGATAGCGGAGCAGATCTTTCGTCTGTACGAAGAGAGTTTCGCTCCGAAGTGTCCTGTTGTTGTGTTTCGAACTGGCACAACGGCCGCGCTTGTGCGAGAGACCAAGCCGTTGCTCTTTCTGTCCATAATTAGCATCGCTTCTGCTGGATACTGCACCGTCGCCCAGCAGACAGACTTGGCAGTTAAGGCCAAGCTGTATCTCGCAGAGCGAGCGATTGTTTGTGGTGAAAAGTCAATCGAGCTTGTTCAAGCTCTTCTGGTCGTGTCTTTTTGGTATAGAGCACCCGATAATTATAAGCAGATGAACCTGAACCAGCTAGCGTCGATTGCCACAACTATGGCCATAGATCTCGGGTTGGATAATATTGACGTGTCAAACCCAGCTGGTACAACCAAGGCGATGTGGGATCGGGTAGAAGCACAGCGTGCCTGGCTCGGTTGTCTTCTTTTGTCTGCAAGGTGCATTCATTTATTGGGTAATTTACTCATTTCAGTGATTGTGAACACTGACCCTGTCTTAGTCTTTCTATAATACTGAGGCGGCCCAATTCGCTGGCCTGGAGCTCGCAGTATAATGACTATGTTGCCGATTTGCGACGGACCAAAGCATCCCAGACCGATGAGTTCCTTTGCACAATTGTAACATCGGAGCTTATCTGCCACGCCGTAAGCCACGAGCTACTTCTAAGTGATTCGGCCTCCTCGGTATCCTTATCCGACCCGGAAATATCAATAAAAGTCCACCAACACAAATCTCAAATCGAATGCCTGCCTCGCGACGAAATATCCTCTATTGACAAATGTGAGTGTCGTCCCGAAGACCCCGTCCATGTTGGCTTGAGGTGCAAAGAATGACAATTGTATAAATTAGGTCTTGTTGAATTTGGCAGGTTTACTAACTTACTGTACCTGCATGAGTTGGTCTTACATGTCAACCACAACATCAGTGAGTTCAAGGCACCGTTTAGTGTGAAGTCTTTGGAGACATGCACCTTCATCGACATACACAATCCCGACCCGTCTTGCTTTTCTATGCTTCGCAGTATCGTACAGGCGGCACAAGGACTGCTTGATTGTTTCCTGAGCTTATCCACGTCCGACATTATTGCTTTACCACCGCATATTTATGGCGGTCGCGTGATATATGCAATGATCCTTCTATTGAAAATACATAAAGCAATCACATTATCAGGGCAGGCAAGAAGTGACTATGTTACTGCCGACGAATTACAAGTGGAAGTGTACCTTGAACACCTCGTGCTCGTTTCGAAGAACCTTCTTACGAAAGATGACCGCAGTGCTTTGAGCAGGGCATTGCTAGTCATGCCTCAGCTGAAGCAGTGGTTGCACAGTCACCAAACCAAGACCTTGCGCGGATCAGATGAAACGGAAATGGCGCAACCTCTCCCATTCCAGACTGGCGATGGGTCATTGAGCACTGCAGTACAAACGTCCACGGCAAATCCTAGTGTGCCTTCGACCTACACACAACCGCCAACAATAACCCACCTTGAGCCAATGGATGGACTTGAACAATCTGACGTGCATATCCAGCCTGCACAAGCGTCTGACTACGATATTGTACATAATGGGGGCTCAGAATTTGAGCCACATCGGCATGAACAGGCATCTGACTCTTGGTTTTGGGAATTCTTCAATGTCGACATGCTGCATCAGAATGCTCATTCACTATGAGATTGACATTGGCGTTTTATATGTTCAACCACGGCTATTTATGAATTTCATTGAGAAGAGAGGGCCCTAAGTATAGTACACGTAAATTCGCATTCTTTTGATATTGTTAATGCCATCAGGCGCGTTTCTGCTGGCTCCCGCAGATTTGCCTCAACCCACTTGCACGAAAATGTGTCTAGAATGAGTTACACGCGTCCAGGACTTTCCTCCGACTTCAGCTCTTTGGGACTGCTTTTCAGGGATCGCCATTCGACACCCATGACACAAAGAATAGAGACACAAGCTAAGGCCAGCGCGACAACAAAGGTCTGGACGATCGCGTTGTTGTAGATCTCTAAGACCCGAGTAACTACAGTGCCGGTCCGGCCCGAAGCGGCCTGCATCACTGTGCGGCGAAGGTCAGTCGCTCCGGACTGCAGGACAATCGACGGGTCTAGCTCAGGAACTTGGGCGCGCATTCCAGTGATAATGCGGTTGCTGAAAATATTCTGACCCACGGAGACGAAGATGGCACCCCCAAGAGAGCGGGCAAAGACCACCAAAGATGTCCCGATGGAGACATCCTCGTCAGAGAGAACAGTCTGAACAGCAATGTTCGCAAGCTCCATTCCAATGCCAGCACCTGCGCCGAAGATGACTTGGAAACTAAACCTAGATACATCAGCTGAAGAGCCTGTAGGGTTTCAGTAACAGTTACATACCACATCGACGTCGGAGTTTCGATTTTGAATAGCAGAAACAGACCAGCGCCAACGGCCATTATCATCGAACCCGTAATCATAAACGGGCTGTAATATCCCACGGCTGAGACGCCCAGGCCACTCGCGATTGCAAATATCACTGCCTTCGTATCAGTTTGCGCTTTCCTTCAGTTGATCCCCAATGAGGCTATACTTACCGACACTCAGAACAGTAGGAAGGTTATGGATGCCGGACTGGTCGGGAGAATCACCTTTGATTGCCTGAAACCTGTTCTCGCCTTCAGTATCAACGGAGTCAATATTCGAGGGCCTTGAGGACAATGCTCAAACATACCAGATTGGCAAATAGTATATTAGTAAGACAAACGATGCGCTGGCAGAAAAAATATAAGACGTTGAGCAGACAACGGTGCGCTGCCGCAGAATGCGAAGGGGTACTGTAGCATTCTCGCCGCCTCGCCATTGCGTTACTACCCAAACGATACTCAGCGCTCCGAATACCGTCAGCAGCGCGATCATGCGGCCATCACTCCAGGGGTATTGGGCTCCTCCCCACTGGAGTGCAATCAAGAGACAAATGATGCACGCAACGAAAACGATCGTCCCGATGGGATCGAATTGGCTGTAGGTCGCCCAGCCTTGCGGCTTAGCCTTGTTTTCTGGCTGTTGCGAGGAGAGAAAAAGAACAATGAAAGGGATGGTTATAACACCAATTGGCAGGTTGACTAGGCTCAGATTAGCTCAGGCCGTGCCGAGAACATCAGAAATAAGCGAGACATACTGTAGAAGCACCAGCGCCAAGACACATGAGCTGAGAATGTAGCCTTGATGTTAGCACCCATATGATGAAGTGTAACAAGCAATGGAAACTAACTTGTAAAAGCTCCCCCTAGCAAGGGACCAACCACACTTGCTATACCCCACACTGCGCCGATTATTCCAGTAAAGGCCGGTCTCTTCGAAAGAGGCACCGATTTGGCGATAATTATCAATGCGCCTGAGAAAATCCCAGCGCCCCCAATCCCGGCAATGGCTCGCCCAATGATAAGGGAGACGGAGTTAGGACTCGCACCGCAAATGGCTGAGCCAATCTCGAAAACTAATACGGCGCCAACAAAGGTCCATTTGAGTGACAACAAAGTATAGAGCTTGCCAAAAAAGAGCTGGAAACTGCAGTTCGTGAGGAGAAATATGCTGCCATACCATCCGATGTCTTCGACGCTATGGAACTGGGAGGTAATAGTTGGGATTGCAGTAGCAATGATAGTTTGATCCTACACAGGACTTGACGGTTAGCCACCAATCTTCTGTCCTCCGAACAGTGAATCCATGCTGGGAAGCGATGTGTAGTACGAACTAGAGCCACCAAGAATACAGTCAGGCACAAAGCCCAAAAGATGAGGGCTAATTTCAAGCCCGAGGGATATACTGAGCTCGCCGAGTCCACTTTGTTATTCGGACGATCAAAAACCGTGTTGCCGGTGGCCTGTTGGCTGTCATGCGAGTTGTCCATGCCTGGTGCGTTAGGTATTCCACTCTGTTCGACTCCCATTTTGAGTTATGACCTTTTGATACGTCAAAAGGGAAAGTGAGAGAGCAAGTGCTGTTAAGTTGATCTCGGTAAAATAAAAGGTTGAATTTCAACTGTGTTGCAAAGTCAAGTATAATCATCACCTCTAATTTACTTAAGTAGATATTAAGTTCTATAAAGCCCTAATGATTCTCTTCTCTCGCGGCAGGCGATATTTAAAGCTTCTTATTGGTTACTAAATTTCCTCTTTGGCCCTAGTCTTAGAGTACTTCATTCTGATTTGCTCAATAATTACCAAATCCGGTATCGCCGACGCCGATTCCGAGAATGGACAGTACATAGTATATGGATAGGACATGACAATAAAGGGCCCGAACACGCTGTTCCAACCCATCCCAGTGTTTTCTATGTTTTCCCGTAGTGATACTTCTAACGAAATTTTACCTCTTCTTCCCCAATTGCTTTCCAGAACCATGTCGCCAATTGGCTTCCGGCGGGCGTGACGTTGGGCCCGCACTTCAAGCCTTGATACCAACCCTGGGATGAGCGACTGTGCCGAAACCAGACGACAACTTTTGCAAACTTGATTTCTTGATATCTTAATAACGTTTGTGGCCAAAGGGGTAAATCGAACTGAAACAGCAATTTTATAGATTATCAAGTAAATGCTGACAACTTATGATGGTAAATTGATGCTCCATGATTGAGCATATAAGAGGACAATAAATACCTATCACGCCCATGTTCTAGATACCCCTCTCAGCTGCAATAATCTTGCGGACAGCAATGACATCAGGGGGGCATATGGTCTCTAAAAGACTCGTCGAACCATCCGCTACTACCTCTGCATGTCCCGGCCAGTACACCCCCAAAGCCATACCCCCACGATATTTCCCTTGCTCAATGAGCTCCTTCATTCTCTCCGCGACTTCCTCAGGCTCGAGAAGAATTGGTGTTTGGTCGCTTTTGCTCAACCTTTTCCCCACGGTCGCCATCAAAGGTGTACGAACAGGTCTAGAAAGGGGCAAAGCATGCAAAGCATTAGCGTAGCTCAGCGTACAAAAACCAATACGAAAGAAATGTTTGGTTAGTTGCTTGCTTGCTTACCCTGGACATATTCCAACTACCTTAACACCCGCCTCCTCTTCTGCACCTGCTAAGCTCTTAATGAATCCGATCGTGCCGTGTTTACCAGCGCAGTATAGAGCCGTGGAAAAGTGACCATGAAGTCCCCCAATTGACGCTGTGATCATGACAACGCCTTTCTTTTGCTTGCCAAGGAGGGCTCGAATCGCTAGTCGAGTGAGCTTGATTGGATGATAAAGGTTAATGTCGAGGGCACTATATCGTTCGCTGTCATTGTCATCCCAAAAGCTATTCTTTTCCTATTTGTCCGCCGTCGTCAGAAGGAAAATAATTCCCCTACGCTATGTATGAGAGGGAGACGTTCGGCTTACCGTCTCTGGGACCCCAGCGTTTGCTACAAAGATGTCTGGAACATCTCCGAGCTTGCTTTCCGAAAAGGGCATGATCAATGCTAGATCATCCCACCTGGTCACGTCGCATTTTAGGAAGTGAGCATTCTCATGATCCTTTACTAGACGAGTCGATTCGGACGAAGGTTTCAAATCAGCTATAATCACTTTCGCATTGGACTCAAGGGCTAACTTGGCGAGAGCAAAGCCAATCCCTGGTCAAGGACATTTATTGTTAGCCAGCTATTTTAACAGGCGTAGTTAGAAACATACCTGACGCCCCACCAGTAATAGCTATGATTTTTCCAGAGAGGGGGAAGCCACCAAACATGTCGATTTATTTGAAAGTCGATGTGAATCTTGTTTCTTGTCAAAATTGTGAATATAAGTGATAATCTCCATGCTTATTTCACTCTGCTTGCTACTTAAAAATGAGGGCTGGAGAGGGTGTTTCTCACTTCCCGACAATGCGGCATTGTCTTCCGCAACTCACGGGATCTTATCCGCCCCCGCCCCTACGCAGTAATTATTGACAAAGGTTGTGATGCGCATGAGCGGGGTAGACCCTTGGGTCATTTGCTACTTACCAGGGACTGAAAATATTAACATTGCGGAAGACTGGTCGGGAGTGTCTGCCACTGTGAAAGGTACCTATTGTAGTAGGGGATCCACTAGTCAATTAGTGTCGTCCACTAGTGTCAAGCGGGGCGAACCGCAGATCGCCGGCATACATCCGCCGAATGCTAAGAGAACCCACCCCCGGTGCTCACTTCCCCGCAGGTTACCCTCAGCCTTCCCCACGGGGTTCCCGTCCGCCTTTCCCCTTTGGAAATCACTTTCGGAATGTCATCCGCAAGGACTGTACAATATGGATTATTCAATAATTTAGCCCCGAGACGCAAGATGCTGTGCTATTTTAATGGGCTACCTCCCAGGTAATTATAAGATTTGAATACATATATGGTCAAATTGTCCAAGTCCAAGACCAAAGCTTCTATCCTGAGAGCCATTTGCATATATCCTTCAGTCTACGGATCAATCCTAGTCAACCCATTCATCCAAGATGACCAACCAGCACCAGCGAATTGATGTCCATCATCACTTTGTGCCGGAATTCTGGCGCAAAGGTGAGTCTTGCCATGGAACCTACCTAGCCCATCTTCATCGAAACCTAACCAAACCTTCAAGCTATGGATGAGAGCGGCGGCGATCCCTGTGGTTGGCCGACCCCAGCATGGAGCCTGGAAACAGATGAGAAGTCGAATGAGAGATTCAAAATAACCACTACGATCCTTTCCATCACTGCCCCGGGAGTTTGTGTCATTCCTGACCGCCAACAACGTGCCGATGTGGCAAGAAAAGTGAATGAATACGCGGCCCAGTTGCGGGATGCCCAGCCGAAGAAGTATGGCTTCTTTGCCGTCTTGCCTGATCTCTTCGACAAAGAAGATACTATCGAAGAAATTCGCTATGCTCTGGACATGTTGAAGGCAGATGGCGTGACTCTGTACACCCGGTACCGTACAGCCCATCATTATCTCGGTCACCCACTCTTTAAGGATATTTGGGCCGAGCTGGACAAACGGAGTGCCGTGGTTTTCGTCCATCCCACTCACCCGATGTCCACAAAGCTCGTCAGTGACATCCCTCAATCCCTTATGCAATACCCGATGGAGACCACCGTTAGCGCATTCGACATGATCGTGAACAAGACGGTCCGGACATACTCAAACTGTAAGATCATTCTATCGCATGGCGGAGGTGCTCTGCCCTACATGATCCAACGCCCGGCCAGTGTCTTGCCGAAAAATGAGAAGGAGCATGAGGAATTCATAGATGATGCGCGTAGCTTCTACTACGACGTTGCACTCTGTGGTGGAGAGGCTCCTTTGGCGGTCCTGGAGAAGTTCGCGAAACCAGGCCGTCTATTGTTCGGAAGCGATGTTCCTTATGCCGGTGATGAGATCGTTGCATACCACGTTGATCGTTTCGATGCCGTGGAATTTAAGGATCCGAAACTTGCCCAGCAGGTCAACTATGAAAATGCCTTGAAGCTGTTCCCCAGGTTAAGTGGCAATGTTTAGAGGTGATACTGTTACGCGAACCGTGGGGGTCTTTCAACCTGTCAGGAAATTGGACATTGGCACTGTCTTGAGTCGTCAGGTACCTCCATGTTAACCTGAGGACTACAATCCTACTTTACAATACACTCCTTCTTTGATTTCCACGTTCTATTCCTGTATGGCGCCACCTCGAATTTGTAACCACCGAGTCACGGGTATTGTCGTGGGTATTTCAAACCCTATGAAGCTCAGTAGTTTAGTTCATCAGAATCAACGTTCCATCTCATCTCTAAACTTCGCTACTCATTGTCGATTCCATTGCTGTCATTAGACAGTAAAGCCAGTGCATTCCTACAGCTATACAGGCCAGTATAGTTACAACCCTACTCTCTTGCCTTCACCATGACTGATTGCACATGCACCTTTGTTGTTTCTTGCTATTTTACGACCGACTCTCTACCTGAATTGAGCTACAGAAATTCCCCATTCCCCTAATTGTTTAAGATTATTCCACAAGATGCCCCCCAAAGATGAAGCCAGCCGTAAACCGTCTTCCCATATCATAATCCCTAGCTAATCTGATGTTCGCACGTAACTAATGAGTAACAGTGTTGTGGCCAAGAGCCAGATCGAAATAAAACTGCCCCATTGAACGAAAGTATCAAACTTAGAGGGAGAAAGGGGTAGAAAAGGGAAAATATGGAGCTGCGGACTTTTTACTGTTTTCCTTCTCCGCATCTCCCTTCGAGCGTGGCACTGCCCTCAATGGAACTTTCCTGACGACCGAGGATAAACACGGAACAAACCCCAACCGTCACAAAGAGCAGGAGTTGGTCCCTGCAATGGTTGAGGCGGAGGTGAAGCCTCTCAGTTTGTATTTGCGCGTCTCTTTCAAGCAGCATCAGTCATTAATGTCTCTCACAATGAGCCGACTGCTTCAATCGCTGCTCCCTAAGATCATTGAAGCATCTAGAAGAATGAAATCCGATACAAGTTCCAACGATACCTGGATATTACTAAGTCCCGCTCTTGCAAGGTAGTCTGCTATCTCTCGCGATTTTCCACACTAGCATCTTCCATTACGGTATTACCCTGTGTGGCCAGTCCATTACCAAATGACAAAGCCACGGTCAAACTTTCTTCAAATTCATACCCCCAACAACAATCCGCGCGGCAACAAACAGCGTCGCACCGGCCACCATGACCACACCGCAGAACACCTGTAATTGGGTATATGAACCATGCAGCATATCGGGGACCAAGGCCCCGCCAATCGGGGACCCTGTCAGCGCTGCTATAGAGATAATCGAGAAACACGTTCCGTTGCGCGCGCCAACTTCACGGAGGTCGGAGATTTGAGCGATTAGGGCCGGGGCAAGCGAGACGAAGGCTCCGGAGCCGAAGCCATACAGCGCGCTGAAGACAATTATGGGTGCGTTCCCGCGGGATGGGAGCCAGAGGGCTAGAACGAGGATTCCGGAGAGATAGCTGAAGATGATCATTACGTTGTATCGGCCTATGCGGTCTGCGATGTAGCCGGGAAGAGTACGGCCGAAGATGCTTGTGGGGGTTAGCTGGGGTCTCTCAAATGCGCTGATGTCGGAGAGTGGTGGATCACCTAGCTGCGTTCAGGATGGGAATAAGATATGAAGCCATGTTCTGTGACATGCCATAGCGCTCCCCAGAGGTGATCACAAATGTAAAGGGCAAGAACATGCCCCAGAAGAAACTAAAGGCCGCAGCTACAGTTAAGACGAACTTAAGATCATGAAGCGGCCGGACGAAAGCCATGATATCGAACCCCATCTTCTGCGGCTTCAGCCTGGATCGTAACGTAAGGTTGCAATTGCCAGCATGAAGAGGATAAGAAAGGCGCATATCCGCATTGCCCAGCCAAAGCTGACTTGTGGAATCAGTTTCGATACCATGATAGGGAAGATCACACCTCCTAAACTCGATCCTGAAGCTGCAACGCCCAGTGCGAATGCTCGGCGCTTGGCGAACCAGCCGCTGACTGAGTTGATCGAGGCGTTGAATATGGCGCTCGCGCCGAGAGGGCTGCATATAGCCTGAGAAAGGATAAATTGGTAGTAATCTGTCGAGAGAGAGGCCATCATGAGGCCGAAAACGTGGAGCAATGTCCCCGCGAGCAAGATCCAACGGGGTCCATAGATATCAAAAAGGGTACCGAACAGTGGACCGAAGAAGAACATGACAAACGTTTCGAGGGAGGGGATCCAGGCTATGGTGCTGGGCGATAGATGGCTCAATTGGTGGCTTTCATAGTATGCTTGGAAAACACCGATACCTAGAGCAATATAAATTAGGGCTGTTCAGGCTAGCAGGTGCATTGAGTCCAGACGCATAACATGATACGCACAGTTAATCCAACCGAAGCTGACGAACAGACCACAGAACGCTCCCAAAACAGTCATCCATGCCTGTAATCCCCCGTCAGGCGGGGGTCCTGGGACTGGACTGACTGGTGGGCATGAAGCTTCAAGTTTCTCCCAGGGTTGGAGGTTGGCATGAGGGGATTCAGGAGCGACGAACTCCGTGGCATTCTGCTGGTCCGGCTGACCACCCACCTCCAGGCCCTTTTCTAGGTGCACGCTCATTGCGGAGGTGGAATGGTCGTCAGAGATGGATGGGATGTCCTGCTCACGATTTGCAGCTACCATGCCGCTGCCGTCCCTCGCCTCTAAGAGAAGGCTTCCAGTTCAACTCTTGGGTTTCGTTGGCTTAAAATCAACAGACAGTAATTGCTGCAAATCCGGGCAAGAACGAAGTAGCAAAATCGACGGGCGCTCGCATTGAAAGACGGGGAGGCGAGACGTAGTTTTTTCCCAACCAACAAGAATGAAGGTCAGTGATTGCGGTGTATTGCACCAGATAGTGGGTCAAGAATGGAGCAAGTCGATTGTCCAAAGGGTCTTCGAGTCAAAGAGAGACTGACACTGTCTTATTGACGCAAATCCACTTTGGTACAATGCGAACTCGTAGAGCCAGTCGCGTCGCAAGGCGCCAAATTGTCGAGTACCGCGAGATACTTCGGAGAATGGTCTATGTACAAGGGAAAGTCGAGAGAATATTTGCTATGAAGATGATCGCGGACTCTCGGCCTCGGGTCGCACTAATGCCCTGAATGAGATCCAAGTGATAATCCGGAAGTGCTTCCGCAGCCACCCCGATCCGCTGAATTGAACCCACCATCAGGATCCCGGAGTTACTCTCCGTAGGTGTGGTCGAATCGCTGTGCTGTGGGTCTTGCTGTTCTCTATTGTCCCAACTTATTCCCGTGGTTATGAATAGCTTGCAATGCTGACATGCGTCACTGAAGATGGTGGCGGGTCACCCCCACACGAGTGAGATGCTGTCCAGCGTTGGACAGGGACGTTATTGATGATGTTGATGGCTTACAGGATCCTAATCCGTTCCGTGGCATGAACCGACTAGCGGTATATATGCTAACCTGGATTTGTACCCTTGGTAGTTGTCTACTGCATCTCGTCGAGCGCTGCGGCTGCGGCCCCTGCACACCGTTGTCGTCCCGAGGCATTTCAGGATATCACCACGTCCGCAATAGTCCGTGTTACCTCCGCCTTCTCTGTGACAGCCTCCCTGTCGGGTGCTATTTCGATTTTCGAGAACACCTTCGGCCTCTATAGTGGAAGCGGAGTCGGGTTAATCATCTCGATTTCCTGTAGCCCCTCTAGTTTTATTGTGTTCATCGCCTCTTGGAGCGGGTAGACTACCGCACGACCCAATATAACCCGGACCCAACCCGGGGACCCAACCCGGGCTGGGTTGGTTTCGGGTCGAAGACTCCTGTTGATTGATCCGTGGCGTTTCGGCGTTCACATCGTTCATAAGAGTTGATTTTATGTTTCTATATTCATGTTATGTATTGGATACCGGTAGGCTGGTAGCCAGGCACGGACGTTGTTTACGCACCTACCTGAACGGTGGACTGTGGGGCGGACGACTTCAGTCACCACACTGTGACAGCCACCTCTACCAACGATAAGAATATGGTCGTTGAACGATGTGTGGATTTCTGCAATGGTCATGCATACTCTTACGGTGGTTTCGAGTATTCCTCTGGGTACGTCGATCTCTCTCTCACACCTTTCCTCACTGAACGAATCGCACTAACTGTCCTTGTTAAATGATTGTCCATCTATAGAGTTCTGCATCTAGACAACTAGCTATAAAGAAACGACACTGTTCTTCAATATATCAGCCGAGGGAAAATCAAAGGTTCAAACGGTTATGATGCAGTTATGCATAGTCTCGTATCATATCGAAAGTGTATAAAAAAGGGTTGGGCGATATATTTGTCGTGAATACCCAATGTCTTACACGATACCACGACGCTAGAATGGCGGAAAGGCGCTGAATTGAACTGGTCCGGATCTGATCTGATAATCAGCGGTCTAACGGCGGCCTCCGATTGGTCAATTCAGAATGGCTGAGGGTCCATTCGGGGCTTCTTGAACTGTCAATGTGTTCGTTTGGCGGGCTTTAGCGCCGTCTCGGTTGGGGGCGGGGCAACCAATCCAGCTTCCTGCCATCTCCTGGCGACTGGCGACTTTTTCCGAGTCCTCCGCCCGAGAAAGATGGGGGGATATCATGAACCGAGTGCGACCGAATTACTGGTGACAACGCCACTCATCATTGTAGGCCTGGTCTTACTGCCTCTGGTGTGGCTGGGTCTCCTCCTCTGGAACCTTGGTCAAATCGTATCTGGTTCCAAAAAGGCGAGGAGTGCTGTATCAGACATCGGAGCGTCACTAAACCTGGTCTGGGCACTGCCCGTATGCATGGTGAACAATGTATGGCTTCTGCTAGTAAAGCTATTACGAGTCGTTTACGCGTACCGACAGAAGTCCGCTCCGAGTATTATCGCGAGGCGCTATTATACTGGGCTTTTCGCGACAGAGGCACGGATATCCGTGGATCCCTACCTTCTGCCACGGGAAGAGCCATACGAATACACCCCAATCTCGGGCGAGCACAAGATCAGACTACTGGTCATTCGACCGGGCGCGTTCGATGATTATATATGTGGGGACCTTGTCGAGGTCAATCTCTTGCTGGGGCCGACGTTCGACGCGTTGTCCTATACCTGGGCAGATGAAAACGGCGATGCAACGCGATCGGGCAAAATCTACTGCGTGCCTGATTTCAGCGTCATCGGGATCACGAAGAACTGTGAGAGGGCGATCCGACGGCTACGACATCCCAAGAAGGTACGCCGCGTGTGGATCGATGCGGTCTGCATTGACCAGCAGAATGTTCTGGAGCGAACCCATCAAATCGGGCAAATGGCCAAGATCTTCACTTCGGCCCGTCGTGTGATTGCCTACACGGGCGAGGGGACGTGTCAGACAGACACCCTGTTTGACTGGCTCAATGGCCTCGAGGCACCGGAGCTGAACGTTCCTCTGATCGGAGGATTGGGCGATCTTTCTCATCCTGTCGTCACGCTCAAGGAACCTGCAGACATTCGGAGGTTGATCGCCCGGATTCGGGTTGGGGTCAACGAAAGAATGATCTTGGCGGGCATGTACGGGAAAAACTGCTTCTCCAGATTACTGCGCCGATCAGAGAGAGCGAAGGACAAGATAAACATTGACGAACCGGAGCTTACCAAGCTGGCACACGAGTATTGCTCTCGAAGATGGTTCAGCCGGGTCTGGATTTTACAGGAGGTGACCCTGCCTGATCTCCATCGCACGAGAATTGTTTGTGGGAGCAGGACCACGACGGCCGAGAGAGCACTGCATGCTCTGGGACTTCTGAAAGAGGCTGGGGCCGAGAGCATTCCCCGGATATTTGTCTTAGTCCGCAAGACAACCATTTTTCCGAGACGGTCTCATCTCTTGGATATCCTCATTGAGACCAAAGACCACGCGGCCACCGATCCCCGCGATAAGATTTTTGGAGTCCTCAGTCTGGCACACAGTTTAGATGGAGGTTGCTTCCCGGAACTTGCGGCGAATTACGAACTGCAAGCAGCCCAGGTATATACCAGATACTCGGCCTTCTTCATCCAGCACCACGGCCCGGGCTTCTTCCTTGCCTTGATCCAATCACCCCAGAAGCTGCCTGGACTCCCATCCTGGGCAGCCGACTGGACGGTGCCCTGGCCGAACAGCAGAGCCGTCTCCGTGAGAGATTTCCCTGCGGTTTCAAGACGCACACACGAGGAGAATCCTGGGAATATATTTGGTCGGGAGAACGGCTACGAGATCCTGACACTAGTGCGCCCACAGATCCTTCGAGGCTATTTCACACGAAATGGAGCCTGACGGGTCTAGATGGAATAGATGTGGAAGAGGTGGGGGGATTGCATGAAAATACCGTGCTCATTGAGATATTCCCCGGTTTGGCTGCGCTCCTTAGGCGTGAGGATGATTATTATGTCTTCGTCCAAGTGTGCCCACACGCAGTGTTTCGGGATAGTCTACTCGAGCTTGTCGAGAGATGGAGTAGTGTTGTGGTCGATGGAATTGGTCCCGAGGAACTACAAAATCAGGATCGTCATCGCTTTGGATATCTGGGCTCCATACAGCCTTATAAGATTCGATAATGCCGCAATGATTGTGGATTAAAGGGTCTGATCACCCCCTATATACTGGGGTTAGGCCGGTATGATTTAGTAGATCCTGTGTAATGGAAGAGGTACATTGCCGAAGGCCAGGGCAGGATAGAAGACACTTGCTTTGAAGCTGTCACATTTAGTAAATAATACTAAGAGTGGCATATGCACATCACTTGGCTAGATGGTATCGCTCCTGTGTTGGGTGGCATAAAGAATATGCTAGATTTACTGCAGTGGGGGTCCTATACCCTAGCCCATGGGATATGTAGTCGGTCTAGGAATTTCCCATCACTCATCCACAGCTTCTTCTAAAACGGAGACCGGTAGTTCATGAAAGATTAAGGACCTGTACAACCAACTGCTGTTATGTTATGGCTACCCTGGTAAGGCAAGTCGCCCCAGACCCTGGGAGTTGAACCACAGACGCCCGCGCGCATTCTAACGATTGTTCCATACTTGATTGCCGACACAAGTTATCATTTCACCAACAGTTCAATAGCGTAGTACCCCATGCACTTAGGAAAGGGTATTTCTTTTGCAAATCGTAAAGGGTAGATAGCAGAAGAAACGAGCAGGAGAGAGCTACATTCTACTGGCTAATTCAATGGATTTCAATCCTTTAATACAATCGCCTAAGCTGTCAGCGTGAATGTTATTCCAGCCAGTCAATTTATTCACAGATACCGGCCTGACATGTCTGACCAGGTAGAACCCCACAGGAAGTGCCATCCGGCTTCTTAGCAAAGTATTGCATAAAGCCCTTCCGACATGTTACCCGACATAGACCCCCTGAGATTGACGAGACTGGTTCAACGATTTTACCTGTACCACACTAGAAGTAATCTAATCATCACACCTTCAAAGGCCTAGTCTTTCACGGGGAGGAACGAACAGGGTTGTGCTCCACGTCTGCGGGAGGGATAGCGAGGTCGCCAACAGATACCTACAACCAAAGTTGACTGATTAGCTCACACTATTGCTATCAAAAGTCCCGGTTGCACTCATCCATAGTCATAACTTCCCTGTCGCCCTCGAAGTTCGGGTCCACGCGTTGGATTAGTAGCCCCCAGTCCACAAAGAACGGCCAAGACGATAAAAGTATTCATATTCAGAGAATTTTCCATAAATGGAATCACAAAAAGAATGAACAGTCGAGGGCAGCTGGTTATAGAGATGTACTTGGGAAATGGAGGAGCAATTCTGCCCCTGGGGGATGAGCAGCCTTTTAGTATACCTTTCACACGCGCCAAGAGCCATATGAGAGGCTCGGACCATAGAACAAGAAAGGAGATAAGGTTATTACACAGTCCCCCAAATGGGGCTTGCCTCAGGACAGATTTCCCCCTGTCTAGCTACCACGGAAACAATAATAAATGATGGAAGCGAACGTCGGATATTCTGATTGATTCAATTCCCTAGGGAAAAAGAAACTTTATATATGTATATATATGTATTGAGATTTGTAGAAATGCTCCGCGGTCTCTTTCTCATCATTTCTGGTCTATGTGACCTAAGCAGATGGTTTTAGCCGCTGCAGAAAGGCTCTTACTGAGTGTGAGCCGTTGTGGTGGAATTAGTTTCCATGCACAGGTTCAGAAGTGATAGTAATGCGATATATGAACATCGGTGTCAAACCCTGGGATCTCTCCAAGCTGTCTCTGTGCTAATGTTGGTGATTGAACTCACCCTTGATGAGTCCGAGTAGTCTGAACGAAGTAACACTGTACAAAGTATCCGACAGTGTGAGGATATGATATCCGATGACCCCATCCAAGGTTTGACCAGGTTCGCCAATCGATCAAACTAAATATAGCAAGGATAGAAGCAAGTTCTACTGAGTACATATACTAGTAGTTAAGGATGATAAGACTTGACGAATCAAACTAGCAATGTTCGAATGTAGGCAACCAATTCACCATATTAATCAACACCAGTAACTAAATACCTGGTAAGGGAGCGTCCATATATATCCGGTCTTCCTGGGTAGGCTATCTCTTTGGTAGATGTTGCAGCTCTCGCGTCGCCCCAATGGCACGATCATTGTCGATAGCGAACAACAAAGCCCTAGTATTCCTTGCCAATCTCTTTCTATCTTTGACGGCTCGTATGAGTATGGTGATGTAGCACATTTGGTAGGAACGAATATTTTGCCGGGGGCACTTATTATAGCGCCGTTCCCCTATCTCCGAATCACAACCCAGCACAGTATTCACCCACATCAATCGTACAGTAGACCATGCCAGCTACTGGAGGGTCGAAAGGTCCTGCGAAAGCTTTCAGCACTGGATCTCAGCATTGGGGGAGCATAGTCTATTAATTCTACTCTTCATGGATCGTCGTCATCCCCAATATTGCTCTTATATCAAAGGAAATAGAACATTTAGGCTTGCTATTATACAATTTCATACTGGTACAAGGCTAGTAAGGTACAGGCGGGGCTGGACATTGCTTGTCGGCATATTCTGTTCACTTCGTCCCAGGTCTAAAGGCAGCCGCAATGCAAATTTGTGCTTGACCTTGGACCTCTTTTCCCGGAGGGCAATGGATTGTTGCCTTGATATTGCGGCCATTCACTTCCAGTTTGATACTATAATGGACTTCATAGTACACATCTCCTTCATCGTTAATTCTCTTCTCTAGCATATTCCCCGTTTGGAGAGCTTCAAGAGATGCCTCCACGAATCCCGCTTTACGATGGCCTGACAGTTCGGATTAGCCAGGTATGAAGAGTGTTTGGTTTACTATTTTTGAGTTCAACGCACCAGAGTTCTTGTCGTCATCCATGTGGTAATGTTGGTGGACCGGCCGGTCTGAGAAATACAAAGTTTCATAAACGGTCATGTCCTCTCCTGGTTCAAATGCTCGATGCATATAAATTTCAGTAGACTCTCCTTCGTTGAGAATTTGGTCCTAGTCGAGCATCAGCGACGGGTCAGGTCCGGGATAACAGATATATTGTGCCTCTGGGGCGACTTAGACGCAAACCTACCTTCCTAATAACCCAGTCCATGCAATCTTTTACATACTTCTTTCCATTTAGGTGGTGACGAGACCAACGGGCACTTTTATGTCCCTTAAACCTCTCATTGTATGGCTCACTGACACGTACTCCGAGATTCAGCCTGAGCTTCCGGCGTGGGCCGTTCTCCTTATTTAGCGCACGAAGAACGCCGCCCCGGGATACTGCGGTAGTCATGTCTCTTGGATAAACTATTAGCGTTGTGGACGGGAGAAACGGTACAGGGGATGTGTTACATGTCCTGATGCAGATGGATTACTTCAAGTCCACCTCGGCCGAAAGCGTCGTTGAGGCAACGCTTCAAAGCCGGCGATTGAGAAAATCCACCAACTAGGAGAATTGCCTACAGCTATTAGCAACAAATGGTATAATTTCAACAGGGTGTGTCCGGGAACGGTGGATGGCAGCAAGTGGCGTTACCTTGATCTTTTGGCCATCAAGTTGCTTCAGCTGTTCGTCGATCAAAGCGACAGTTCCATCCAAGCTTCGCCTGAAGTAGGTATTCATTTGGTCCCTATAATACCGTTAGTGAGTGGATATACCATGGACTTGCTGGTGTCTTACTTTTTGATGTAGAACATCCCAGTTCCAAAATTCCTCGTCGGGTCTTCCCTTAACCCAAAAATGCGCAGACTAATGTTCTCTCCCTCCTCCCAGTCATCCGGGTCGTAGATTCGCTTTTGCTCGTGCTCGAACTTTCGAAACAAGTCTTCTTGCATGACTGCTTCCTTGGAATAGATGGGCTCCCTGCCCAGTTCAATAACGTGTGCTAGTCTTTCTCTAGACTCTTCAATAAAAGCCTGGTTGATATAGCTCGAACCACAGTCCTTCCCTGTTGCCATTCTTAATGTATTTCCTAGTAAAAGTACTAGAAGGGTGGGTTACCGGCTGGCATAGCTATTTCATCGAATCTGAATGGATACTCCTGTCGTACCGTATAGGTGATCGCATCCTAGAGAGACGCGAATTGTTAGTCATCGAAAGCGGGCGATAAAACGCAAGACTAGGGTAATCTTACGACAGTACCACCTCCAGCATCGCAGACAACGAAGTTGGTCCCTTCCTACAGGCTGTGAGTATCACCCACAGGGACGCAGCCACAAGAACCATACGCACTGCAATAATTTCTTGGATATTCTCGTGCCGCAGTGCAAAGGTCACTGCAGCCTCGGGTTCATCAATGATAAACATGGAGAAGTCCCTCCCTCTCATGTCCGTTCTGTCCACTACCTCAAGCATAATTTCCTGCATTGTGAGCTGTGCATACGTTGACCACTTAGATGGCACGCAGAGTGCTAGCTCGACCTCCCAAGTGCTATTGAAACCCTCCCTCTGCACCAGCTGACCACGGGTATGCTTGAAGACTTTCATAAGATAGTCCCGAATAGCGTCCCTGGCAGTTTTACCTACATTATGGAGTGCCTCCCTCGGCTGTGTTAGCTGGTCATTGTCCGGGTCCTCCCCGTCATCGTCAAGTAACAGCTTCGGGAGTTGAACGATGCAGTTTATCGACTCTGTATCGTCACTTTCTGATAGATTATGTAGTGTATATTGCACCTCATGGCCCCACAGGAATTTCCCATCACGATACCAGCTTTCACTGGGCACGAATGGACTCCCTGGGTGGACGAATCGACTGGCCCGCGGCCAGTTTGCAATGCATCGAATGCCCCTTGGATGGACGTCTCTGGGAGGGTCACTGGGATCGAAGGTGATATATGAGATGGAAGTCAAGGTCGTTCCATAGTCGAGGCATAGTAGAAGCTTTCTGGCAGGAAGGAGACTTTGCTCAAGCCGTGAACAGTGTCGCAGCTGAACGTGATCTTCGTCCGATACCCGGCTCGAGGAAGTACTGGATGAGGAAGCCTGAGGGTCAAGCTTCCGCCGTACCCGTCTTTGTGGCTTTGCTCGCTGGGCCATAGCAAACAGAACCTGATGCTGTGTAATGGTGCGCACATCACCCCTAGACTTGGGTGAGGGATTTAAAGCGCCGGGCATGAGGCAGAGCGCAAGGCTGCAACCGGCAGGCAGCAACAGCCCCTGACTCAAAGTTTTTCTCTAGTCTGGTTGAGATTAGTGTGCTGCATGCTAGCAGGGGTTTTTGTTGAAGCCTTGTCTTAAACAGGCAGGCCGGCGGCTAATTTGGACCTGTCGCTCGTTATCTGAGCTCCCGTCGCCAAAACCCGCTACTTTTCTCTTCCTCTTGTTATTAATATTATGAGCTGTTCTGTTACTCATCAAATCCGCCTTTATACTTGAAAAAGTGTGTGGTTTTTCGACCCTGGTCCAAATTAGGGACACAATGGGCAGCTATCAAGGCATTCCCGGAAACGATGGCTTTGGCGTCCGTGGCAGCCGATTTTACTACATCCCAGATTACATACCACCGACACAGAATATCTCTTTAGGTATCACAAACGATCACATCATTTCAGGTACGAAGAGGAAGAGTAAGCCTCCAGCGCGCTTGATATATGGAGAGCGAGATATACCACAATCTGATGAGTGGAAGTTAAGCAAAAAGCCCCGCCAGTCAATTACGACGCTGGGCGAACGCAAACATGAGCAGAACGTATGTTATTGCACGAGTTTACCAGTGTATCGATGTGTCTTGGATAGGATATAGCAATCGCACTGACTTTAATGCTCGTCAGATCCGCATTATCATTCCTCCTCCTATTCCTGACGATGATTCCGGTGACTCGCCCTTGACCGAAGTAGAGGATCTAGAGGACGAATTGGAAGACTTGGCCTCTAACCCGCCCATGGGTGATGCTCATCTAGCCGCTGGGATGCTCAGTGAGCATCCCAGACTAGATAGCTCGGATGAAATTAGGAGAGGCCAGCTCACACAACAGGACGAGCGTGATAGATGCACAGGGAAGATGATCAATCTCCGCCAACAGGCAGAACAGGCATTGCCCTGCAGGAGCCGTAGGACAGACTTGCAGCAAAAAGAAATAGAGACGCTCCAGAGACAAAACAACCGTCTCCGGGCGGAATTAGCTAACATCAGAGCATCGCAGTGCACTTCAACCAACGATTCCGCTATCACTAGATTCTCCGCGGACGAATTACTTAGCCGCAAGAATGAGATTAAAAGGCTTCGCCGCCGCCTTTCAAGTGCCCTGGAGCTTATTGAGCTTGTCCGTCCCCTCCCATCGTACGACGATGGTTTTGCCACATCAACGGGCTTCATATACCAGGAGATGGATACATTGGGTAACTATGTGGTCTATACCGCAAATTTGCTCTCCAAAGCCCGAAGGTATGACATAAAGGATGAAACAATAGGTCAAAATCTAGCTCACCTCATCGAGCAAACCATTATCACCAAAGAGCTTTTATTCACAGAGCCCCTATCAGCCTTTCGCGCTCTTACTTTTGGTTTTATTCAAGAACGCGTGTTTCATGCCCCGGAGATATGGAGAGAGCTGCACTTTGACGGCATAATGTTCAGGCAGTTCCAAAGCATTCTGGAACAAAGCAGTACGTGACCGCTTAACTTCAGCCCCTTGGATTATAAGCAGTTACCTTGGCTCACCACCCACTTAATTCAACTTTAGTTTCACCTGAAACCCTGGAAAAATACCACCGTGCAACAGTTAATCTTACTCTAACAAGAAATCCAGAATTCAAGGAACAGTTCGTTTCGAGGTACGCTGAACAGATACAGTTCGAGTTCTTCAAAATGATGGCGCCTTTAGTCGGGTCAGAAGACATGGGCGCTCACTTTAAGCGCCAAACGCGGACATTATTGAGACACGCCCTTACCCTACGTGCGAGCTGCTATCCTCATATCGGAACGCGCTATCAACTGGTGCACTTCAAACCAGGTCAGATATATGACCCGCAGACCATGCGCGCAGAAGATGAGGCTGGAGCAAGCGTACATGTTCCAGAGGGTGGACAGCAGCGCTGCATTAAGGTGTGCGTGCATGGGCTGATGAAAGCCTGTTCGGTTCAAGAGAATGCGACTGGACTGGATTTGATCAAACAACTCAGCCAGCCGTTTTTAGCGGCAGGCAACAAAGATGGTCACATTGTTAGTGACAAGGCAGCCGTTATTCTAGACTGATGATTTCTGAGCATATGAGGATTGTGTAACTATCACTATGACCTGGGCTATAAAAGCTCTCAGTAAGTCACGACTGGACTTCATTGGCATGGCTAGTCGTCAATACGCATAGGATGGCTGTTGATATGCTGCATTATATAGCTCCAGCGGGACATACAGGCTGACAAGAGAATCATAACAAGGGGTGTGTCTATAGTGACAAGAAACCAAAGTTCTGAGTACACTCAGCCCAAGTTATATATCAGAACCAGAAGTTTACTTTCAGGCCTTCGTCAGTAGTCCGTTTCCAGGGATTGAATCTTTCTAAAACTGTATATCGCTCGCAAGACGTTCTCTATAATCCTGCAAGGAAATTATATAAGATCTAATTCGATAAAATAAAGCATTCGACGGATTGAAATAGCGAATTTTAGGCTTGCGGTGTTACTATCCATTCTAAGGACAAACATGATATCTAATAAGTGGGTATATCAATGCTAACACGCAAAAACGATGAGGTCTCTCGGTGCGAATGGATTTCTTACAATATACCCCAATAGAGTCCAGAACTAGATACTTTGACCACAATCAATGTCCTCCGCGATTGACTGATAGTAGTATGGGGTTCCTAACCTGCGTAGGTACCCATGATCTCTTTCCACTACCTTTTCGTGGTACTTTCTTGAGGAAACATATCTGATTTCCCTCGAATCTAGTCGGTAAGATATTTAATTATAATCATAATAATAATCATAATAATCATAATAATAATAATAATAGATATTATATTTATCGACCCGTAGAAGATGTTTATAAAGGCCGCCCTAATGTATACATCTAGTCTCCGAACCCGGCGTTGACCTGGGACAATGCCCTAAGGGGCACCTGGTCATTAGCATCTTAGCGCCTCTTCCTATCATTCCCTTCCAATCAAGGTAAACATCTCCATGTCGAGGGTCAGCTTAGCAGTATTGTCTTTTTGTCGTAAAACAAATTCAAGCAAGGTTTTCGATTTGTGGGAACAATAACTGTACTAACTATCATATTACATATTTTAACGTAATATCTAATATTGTCTGATAAACACTCTGTGTCCTTGGGCCCTCTCAAGGGAGATGACTGTTTGCGTGTTTCACTGCGTTTGGTTTTTTCTATTTAAGCTTTGCGAAATACAGATATCGCCGTTTCAACTGCCAGAACACTTTTAAAATACTATTACAGTACTCCGTAAAAGGTCACGAATGGCCGGAACATAAATATCCCTGGCCGACCACTTCCAAGAATGCTTGGCGACGTTGCCGGAGCTCTCGCCACTTACGACTCCTCCTGTATGGAAATTAGTTGTGTGCAAGATCATCATCGTTGTTTGAGCCTATAATGCAAACTTCCAATCCTATTGGAACTGGTCCGCAGCCATTAGCCAAAAAGGGGAGGCCTACGACCAGCTGTACCGAATGTTACCGGCGAAAGCAGAAGGTTCTTGTCCCGCAGTTTTCTCTCCGCCCCATTCCGCCGAGAACTAACAACAGCTAAACGTCCAGTGTGATCGAAAAAAACCCTGTAGCCATTGCTCTGCTCGTCACGTCGCCAACAGATGTGTTTACGTGAGATCCCCATCGTAGGTGATTCGACAATGTTGTGTTTCTCTCTCTGACGTTTCTAGTCCGCAACCGATGAGTTCTAGTCTCATTTCAGACGAGTGGGAATCAGAAATGCATCTCTCCCAGTCTGGTCGGCTGGCCGGTCTCCTCCCTCATGGCGAGGAACATTTTCAAGACTTTCGTCAGCTTGGATACTCGTCAGTTGCTGGAAGCAACTCCTTCGTAGCACTAGAGCGGGTGATGCGCTGTACTGGGCCTCCTACACCGCCGTCCCAGCCATGTACTGAGGCCTTATTGTTAATTTCCCGTTTGCCTCCTAAGAATATAATGGATGAGCTCATTACCACCTTTTTTTCGGATGTCAACTGGCAATATTTCATCGTGGAGAAGTTCTACTTCAATGATCTGCTCGTACGCTGGTACTGCACTGAAACAAGCCAGCCTACCTATCTTAGCTCATATGAGTTCTCCCAAGAGTTGAGATACTTTCCAAGTCTCTTGTTTGAGGTTGTTGCGCTGTCTTTACAGTTTCTCCCACCAGGAGCGCCAGCGTGGAGGTATTTTGGAGACGAGACAAGACTCTCACAAAAATACAGCGACCTGGGCGTCGAGCTTGTGCAACTATTGGGAGTCCAAGGCACAGCCCTGACTGCTGTCCAAGCAAGTCTCTTAAGGGCATCTTGGTTGAAGAATCTTGGCCGAGGAATTGATGCTTGGCGGTCTTTGGGAAACGCGATCAGGTATGGCATGCCTAACCAGTCCTCTAAATTAAGGATTCTGACACGTTACCAGGCTATCTCAAGAACTTGGCCTCCACCGGCAACAGGTCTTTCAGCAGTCGAACTCAGATAGTGTTGAGAAGTCATTGGGCTCTTTCTGGTATAACGAGTATAAGAAGCGCCTGTGGATTAACCTATACTCGTGGGACAGGTACGGTCTACCTGAGTTTGAGCTGGACCTGCTTTCTGTCTAACCGAATAGTCTCATGGCTCTGGTCCTTGGTCGACCCATGATGATCAGCAACTTTGACTGTAATATCCCACTTCCGATCGACTGTGATATTCCTGATATCCCTTTCAAAACTGTTCCAGTGATGCTGTCAAACAACCTGGGAACTCGTCCTACCTCTCTTTCAGCATCCCTTGTCAGGTACTTCATATCTACCAAGGTTCACCGAATACGTGAATTGGGGCTAGATACCCCGCATCCCAAGGATTACTCTATGGTGGGAGTTTTGCATCAGGAGGCTCTATCTATTTTGGATGGTACAAAACCAGTTCTTCGACACCAAAATCCTGATACTTCCTGGGATGCGCAGCACGCATATCTTCCCCAACAGCGTGAGGAACTTTTGACCGTTGTGTACACATTCCTCACGGCATTACATCGACCCCATATCAGCACACATGTGCAAAGCCTAAGAGCTGTTTTACAGGCAGGTATTGTCGTGTTAGACTCTCAACAAAGACTTTTCGATCTAACAAGAACACACCATTATATGCTATGTCACCTTTCATTCTATACAGTGGATGCCGCTATTCTGCTTTTAGGGGTCAGTGCACGCTACCCACAGCAAATGCTTGAGGTCACGGGCAATATCCACCGTGCAATCCAACAGGCTATAGTGCGATTGTCCAAGATGGCACCAGTGAATCCTACAGCAAATTCGGGCCTGGATGTTATTCAACGTTGCTATCGAAGACTTCAAGAATCATGTGCCGTCTCTCTCCCGGCTGATGCGATACCAGCGCATTCCGCTTCCACGAGAGTTCAGCTGCAAGATATCTGGGGAGCACTGAGCCATGAGCAACTGAACGGTCAGGACTGGGTGCCAGCCGAATCATTTTCTTCCCCTGGTAACTGTAACCAGCACTTCTCACCAACGGACGGGTCTGCAGCGACACACCACTTCGACCAATCATACTGGCTCCGCCAAATAGATGGCATCTACTCTGCTGCTAATCATGCCTCGTACCTTGACGCAATACTGGAGGCAGGCCGAGATTGAGCCATGTGATACAAAAGCTTTAATGTAGTCGTTTATTGGCGTCAAGAAAATTAAAAAAAAATGTGCAATATGAAAAATTTGATCACGAAGCCGGCCGAGTCTGACAAGCACGCACATCGCAATACAAATGCTCAAGTTAGGTCTGACGATGCCCTCCTATCAAATTCTTTACCCTAGAGATGAAGTTTCTATTTTTCATCAAGCAAATCCAAGGTTTTGGTCCACAGTTTTGCTTCCATTTCTGGACTGTACGCCCATTCCGCATGGCCGGGTCCATGCCGCTGTGAAGGATCGGCCGGTGGTGCGATTTGACAGTCATCCAAGTATTTGCCCCCAGTGCCTTCCAGTTCCCTTGCCACTGCCCCCCAAACACTGGTCGCGGCACCTTGTTCGGGGCTCTTCCAGTAGTTCGTCAGAAACTCGTTTCCCTCCCAGTCGGCTTTTTGTTCGTCCGATATATGGCGAAGAAGTTCTGTAGCTATGGCACCAGGATGCAAACTGAAAGCATGAAGGCCCTGGGCACCATACCGTCTCTCAATTTCGTTCGCCGTCCAGATGTTGGCAGTTTTGCTCTGACCATAAGCCTTCCAGGGCTCATACTCTCCTTCCAGGGTGAGATTGTCAAAGTGAACGGAGGCGATACGGTGCGCACTAGATGCAACGATGATAACCCGGGAATTAAAAGCCGGCGTTGACGAGGACAGGAGGCGAGACTTTAGGAGATCAAACAGCAGAAAGTGGGCTACATGATTTGTTCCAAACTGGGTTTCAAAACCGTCTGCCGTCCGACCTTCCGGACATGCCATCACGCCAGCATTCGCAATTAGGACGTTCAGACTATGAGACCTTGAATTGAATTCCTCGGCACATGCACGCACAGACGCCAGGGAGTTCAAGTCAAGGTGCAAAAGGTGGACCCGAGTGCTTGCCACTATATCGCCTAAGGCCGACTTCGCCTTCTCCAAGTCACGAGCAGTAAGATATAGTGTTGCTCCAGTGCGATATAATGCTCGCGCGGTCTCTATACCCAAGCCAGACGAGCAGCCTGTGATTAGAATCACTTTGCCAACCAAGTCATCTTCACGGCCTGAGTCTTTCACAATTTGGAGCGCGGTAGGACGCGCGTCCCCAGGACCCTTTGGTGACTGGTGGACTTTGGCGTATTTGGAATCCATGCTGACAAATGAGAGGTAGTTTGGTGAGATGGACTTTCGCAGAAGTGCGGCGGAAGGTAGAAGGTACTAATATGTTCCATCGCCGTAATCAATCGGGTTTTATATTTTTTTGCCTTGGCGGGTTACATTGGCCTCCGATAGAGATTGAGAGTGTATCGGGGTTTCGAGGGGCAATCCCAGAGTCATCGGCTCCGGGGGATGTCACCGGTATTGAGGCCCCATTCCAAATGCGGACAAATAGCCGCTTTCCTACAATGTCGTGGCTCCAATGCTTGTGTCCCTTTCCTTTTCCTCAGTGACCAGCCTGTCAAGGCAAACGAAGTTCCTTGGTTACATTGGTTCTAGACATTTCATCGGTCAATTACTACTTAGTAGTACCAGTAATTCCCTTGGTGGGTCTTCGGCGAATGATCTGCAACCTTCGGGAAAAGATGACGTATGAGATGCCAAGCACATGGTCGTGGTGGGGAAAGCTTGGTTGGGATTGCCCGTGTATGGTCGGGTATAAGACTGTCGGCCCCGAACAGCCTAGCGGCACCCGAAGGATTTCGGGAAAATCAGTGGGCCACTGCGTCACAGACCCCTTCGGTCTTGTTAGACATACAGTTATAATCTAAGGATAAAAGGGCCGATCTTGACGAAAACTGACATCGGTTCTACTCAGTACGCAATTCGATCTCCAAGAACCTGTTACTACTCCTAGTGATCTTTATCATACACAATGTCTGCTCCAACGAAAGTCACCTTCCCATCCTTCATGCTACAGATCAGCGGCGAGCTCTACGCTCCCGTTGCTGGCGCCCCCGACCGCAAGGGCGCTGCTGTCGTGGTCAGCCACCCCATGACCGGTGTTAAAGAACAAACCTCCGCAGACCATGCCCGGCTGCTATCTCAAGCCGGGTTCTACGCCCTTGCGTTTGACGCGGGGTATCAGGGGGAAAGCACTGGACAACCACGTGGGCTCGAAGACCCACATCAGAGAGTCGAGGATAATAAGGCTGCTGTGACCTACTTGAGCACGCTGAAGGGCAAAGTCGACCCCGGCCGCATCGGTGTCCTCGGAATCTGCGCCTCGGGTGGTTATACATCTTATGCTGCGCAGTCTGACAGCCGGATCAAGGCACTTGCCACCGTGAGTGCCGCTTGCGTCGGCCGTATGACCCGAAATGGTGGCCTACACAAGGAGAACAACAAGGAAGTCCCTCAAGCTATCGCTGGTGCACTTCAGGCGGCCGGCCAGTGGCGCACGAGCGTGGCCACCGACCCCCACGTTCAGCCCCCGCCTATGTTCAGCAGTGATATCTCTGCAATCCCGCCGGACGCAGACTCCTTCTTCAAAGATGCTGCCTCATACTACGGGTCCAAGCGTGGAAACCATCCCCGTTCGGACCAGAAAGTTCCACCGTCTAGTTACGATCTCATGATCAGCTACGACTCATTTAACCTGCAACACCTGATTTCCCCACGGCCGTTATTGATGGTCGCCGGATCCGAGGCCCAGACTCTTCACTACAGCGAGGACGCTGTTGCGGCAGCCCGCGAACCTAAGGAACTGTTCGTCGTCAAAGGGAAGAACCATTTTGACCTTTATGATGACCTTACAGTGTCTGGCCCGAAGCTTGTGGAGTTTTTCGGCAAGAATCTTTAAGCGCGGTGCTGAGATTTGAGAAGGCATGAAAGCGAATTTGAAAGGTGACTTTCCTGTAACTATGCGCTGGAACTTGTGCTATCTCAACTTCTTAATATATATAGCTGCTTTGTTGGATACTTTTGCAATCACAAGGATCATTCAAAGAAAAGAGTAATCTGAATATCTAGTAAATGGTGTCGTTATTGTTGGATTGGTCTCGGTTTCGGACTGTTAGCCCTTGGCGGAGTGTAACATAGTAGTTAAGTACATCTTTCGCTGGACTAGGAAACTAGCTGATGCTGAAGGATGACGGCTGAATTGAACGCTGCTCTTCAAGAGTGGCTATTGCTCGATCCCCGGTCGAGGTTAACGATCATGACAAAGAACCAAGGGCTTCGGGCCTCTTGAGCCTATCAAATACGATAGAGACCGTCCCCAACCACTAGCTTTGGAAGTAAATACAATTGTTGAGCGTGATGCGTCCTAATCTATAACCTGAATATTGTACTAAATAGAATTTGTGTTTATTTATTGACATTCTGTAACCCATAATCTATAACCCAGTACATACGCTATCTAGCATGATAGTAACGTTCTCAAGTTCCACTATTTATTACCTTGTATCATAAAACCTTCCCTAAGCTATGGGGCGGACTGCAACTGCAAGGTATGCCCTAATTTCTAAAGCATACCTGGCCGTTAGCATTCCGGTGTCCCTTCTTATCAAGATAAAGATTTATCTATTCAGATAGAACGTTTATTGCTACTTTTCTGTTTGTCATAAGCCAAAAGCGATAAAGGTTATCGACTTGTGGGGACAAAAAGTTCATCCTCTCATCAATTACCCCAGTTTGAAGTCGTCCGCGGACTTGGCCGCGGCGAACTTCTAGTGTCACCCTGGCCTCGGCCGTCAGTGGAGGCGTTATTTAATTCCGGGGTCCGCGCTAGAGTGCAATGGCCTATGGCGCGCTATTATATCAATCATGAGTGATAATCTAAGATTCGAGCATGGTGGAACTGTCGACGAGAAGGCTTTCGAGCAAAATGATCCCAAGGTCGGATTTGACCCCGAGCCAAACATACTTACTCGTGTCTCTTTTCATGTTACATTGAGCTGATACAAGTAGCCATCACTGCTGGATAATGCATCCTTTACAGATATCGCCAACGCTGCTACCTTTGAGACATATGGCCATGTTCAGAGAGACCTGAAGGCTCGACGTGTAACCTTCATCGCACTCGGCGCGAACCTTGGCACGGGGCTGTTTCTGGATATAGGACGGGCACTGCGGATATCCGGACTATTTTTACTCTTTCTCGGATATGCCATTGCCAGCTCTGCTGGCTTCTTGATGATGATGGCGCTTGGGGAAATGGCCGTGTGGCTGTCGCTACCTGGTGCCATTCCCCAATTCTGTACCCGCCATGTCGACGATGCCCTCGTCTTTGCTGATGGCTGGAAACACTTGGTTTATGGCAGTCATCACCCTATATGCTGGGATATCAGCAGTCTGCAGCATAATTCAATTTTGGTCAGGTGCTGAGCATGTCAGCGTCGCTGTGTGGATTGGGATCCTCATCGTTGCCCTGCTAGCACTCAATATCCTGGCAGTCAAAGTATACGGAGAACCCGAGTTTGCTTGCGCATTGATCAAACTCTGTGGCATAATTGGTCTGCTTATCACAGCACTGGTGATTGATCTCGAAGGAGCCTCAACTCAGAACCAGCTCGGATTCCATTATTGGAAGACCGACAGTATCATGAAAGAGTATATTGCGTTCAGCAATACTGGCCGGTTCCTGGGGCTTTTTTCCACTTTGGCTAACGCTTCGTCCTCCCTGGGCGGCGTTGAAACAGTCGTGGTCGCCGCTGGAGAAGCCGAAAACCCGCGACGAAACATACCCAGGGCAATCAGACGTGTCTTTTGGAGACTCTTATTCTTTTTTGTCCTTGCCTCATTCGCACTTGGATTGATTTGTCCCAGCAACCATCCTAAGTTGCTGGGAGCTAGCTCTTCCTCTAATGCCGAGTCTCCCTGGTTGATTGCAATTTACCTAGCGCGGATCAAGGCACTACCATCCATTGTCAACGTTGTGGTCCTCATCGCTGGCGTTTCCTCCGGGAACTCCTATGTCTTTATGGGATCCAGATATCTCTATGCGTTAGCATGCAACCATCAGGCACCTAAAACGTTCCTACGTTGCACCAACCAAGGGATCCCGATTTACGCCCTCCTGGTGACCATGTCAATCTCTTTTCTGACATTCATGTCAATCGGCTCTAGCTCAAACACCGTGTTTCAGTGGTTTCAGAATCTAACTACAGTCTCTACTCTGTATGACTACCCCTGCTTACTTGTATTGCATGTTCAAAGTGAAGTGCAGACCTCTGCTAACCATAACAAGCACACCTGGATCTCCATCTGTATCTCATACATGCGCTTTCACGCCGCTCTCCAAGCACAGCAGATTGACCGATCAGACCTCCCATTTTCATTCCCGCTACAGCCGTACTCCCCATACTTTACCCCGGGATATCTATGCATCGTGGTCCTCTTTAACGGGTTCGATTCTATTGCCGGCGGTTTTAACCTGCCAAGGTTTATCACATCGTACATCGGCTTCCCCCGGTTTTTCGGCTTCTTTCTCTTCTGGAAGATTTTGAAGCGCACAAAATGGAAACAGCCTGAAGAAGCCGATCTTTTTACCGGGGAGGCTGAGCTGGATGCTATAGAGTGGCCGCGGACGGTACCGAGGAAGTTTGCAGAACGGATTTGGTTGGCTTTTATTTAATAACATAGCGGCTATATATATGGGGGATTGTTTCAGTCATGATATCCCGTTCCTCAATATATAGGTATAGTATGTAAGTATGTAAGGAATTCATCATTGGGTGTTCCTATTCACCTTTAGTACTGAGCCTTTCTTCTTGAGTTGAACAGGTAGACTTTGTGTCTCATAATAAGCATACGATAATTTCCCGCATGGCTACTCTACGCTCAAGATACTTCTCCAGGACATCCAAGATACTATCCGTAGTAGGAGACTCTATAGAACAATACCGCGAGTAACCTAATACTCTAACAATTAATCATTGATCAGCTAAAGTCAATCAGTCTCTCCCCCTTATCGGATCCATCGGGCTTTCGGAAGGGTAACCACTGGCAGAAGGTATAAGATACCAAGACGGGCTGCTGCCGATCTCTAATGCGATGGGATTCCAGCAACAGCTCCGTGCGCAGCCGGTGACGAAGCTTGAACATCCCTAAAGGTGTCATTGATCCATCAACCCTCTCATAAGATGACATGCCACTTTCAAATCATCCTATTACAGGCACTTATAGCCTGCCTTCTGCCATCTCGCCATTCATAAAAAAAGAATCAAGCCGCCTGAACCTTCTCCAGAACTAGTCAAATAGTCAGCAATCCACCCATAAAGCTGCCTGAATCAGATTGACTAACTGGTTTCATAGCAAGCGTCGCTCGTATCAGTTGCGTCGATATCACATTGGATTCCATGAAGCGCACTATATAGCATACGTTTCGAAGATACCATGAGCGCTTTCTCTTTAGCTGGGCTGGCGTCCGGGCACCTAGAGTCCATAATGCATTATTATTAGCGGCATGCGAGGTGGCAAGGATATAGATAGTATCTTCAAAAATCATAAAAAAGGATGCTGGCCTGTCTGTACCATGTAAGAAACACGAGTTTACTGTGCTCCGCCCCATCATCACCGGTATATTTGAAATTAATCACGGCATATAGACTTCTGGTTCCCTGCAGAGTGTTGAGGATGTCGTCGTCGTAGTTTTCGTATATGCCTGATCTTTCCACCCGGATGCTACGGAAAGAATCGTAGGGGGCGTAGAGAATATATTGACGCTCGTGGCTCGATTTAAGCTCCTCGAAACGAGCGACGACATCAGGATCCAGCTATGTTGGTTAGCTCTTTTAGGGTTTTCAAAGGCATGGGGCAGGAGAGAGCAATCCACCTTCATAGTTAAATATCACGGCTCAGTATGGCAAAAAAAAAAAAAAAAATAAGAAAAAGAAAAAGACAAAAGTATCTTTCTCAAGGTCCGATGGCTTTATGACAATTTATAGGATTTTTGAATTGGGTTCGGCTAAGAGAGTTGAAAGGGGCGCGGTTAGTATTTTGCAGAAGCTCCAGAGGAAGAGTTGCGTACTACTAGTAGTAAGTAGTCTTGATGTGCCCCGCCATTCAGCTGCCCCGCTATTCAACTGCGTTTGTGACGATATGATTGATCTGCCCAAGCACAAGCCACCGCAGATCGATGCCGGAAATCATTTCGCTAAGAATGGACCCAAGTTCCCAACATTGTGGCGCACTCCAATGGGCCAAGGAACGCGTTTGGTTGGCCTTTATTTGGTGGGTGGGCGGCTATGTGTACAGTGCTTTATTTCTGTTATTTCTGTTATATTTCTCAGTATGTCGGTATATAGCGGACTGTTTATTGGGTATCTGTGTCTATTCTTCATATCGGGGCTTCTCTGTTAGATTTAATATGGAAGCTTTGTATCCGATAATAGATATACTAGATTTTTTTTTTGGCACAGTTGCGATATACTGCAGATTGTTACCTAGAAGATCTAAATAATATCAGTAGTACAAAGAGGCCTTATTATCAATATCGCGGGTAATTTAATACGCTGGCGATTAGTTCTCAACTAACTAAAGTCGATCTCCGTTTCCCGGTTATAGGGTCCGTCGGGATTTCAGAACAGTAACCAGTAAACTATACAGGACCGAGTGAATTAGCTGAGAAGGGATACAAGGGCTGTGTCGCCTATAACCCGCAGGGTAAAGATCGACTCCGGAGGGGCTAAACCATAATAACTAGCTGCCAATACAACGATCTCTCATAGATCGGTATAGTACTTGGTCATCTTCAATAGTATTCTCAGCAGACTCGGGCAAGTAGCGAGAAAGAAAGATTTCTTGAGCAGGGAAAATAGAAGGCAAGAAAGCCCTTTAATCATATTGATGACCGGGTGGAAAAGAGTGTTTTTAGAGGGGAAATGATTGGGATAGTCTAATTTTGGAAGTCTCAGCATCCTAATATAGCTTATTATGCGTTGAATGAAATGGAATGGTATGGGTAGAGGCGCCAAAGAGTTATATAGATCTGGCCGAGACCACAGGTCTGGACAACGCCCGCGGTATATTTGGATGTGGGTCCTTGACCGCGGCCACCTGAGACGAGCGGCTCCGTCTACCAAAGGAGGAGATTTGTTCATAGCTTGTATCTTCTGGCGGAAGAACCGAGTAAGAAGAGACCTGGAAGGTCGGCTGATATAGAGGAAGACGAGATGAGAGGGAGACAATGCTATCGGAGCCTCGTAGGTTATCTGCAGAAGCGGCCTGCTGCCTCACTATCTATTTCAGTGCCGGACCCACCACTTCGCCGCGGCTGCTGTGACAGTAGCGCAGCTAACTGTTACGAGTAGCACATGTAGGCCAAAGGTCAGCCAATCGATCATACCAGGTTTCGATGGTCATATCATCCTGAGCATAGAGGAGGAATTCTTCTTTCCAATTCTGGCAGACATCGACTTTGCCGCGAACATAAAGATTCCTTATCAACTGCCTCCCCGAATCTGGACTTGGAAAGAATAGGTTCGGTCCGCTAGGGGCTTTCTCCTTCAATCTGCCGGGGAATGCATAAAAGGCATCTCGAGAGGAGAGCGGAAACGTATATCTATTGAGAGCTTATGTCACGCGAAGTAGTGGCGTAAAACCTCTGAAGACAGCTGGTGTGTAGAGTAAAGAGTATCGAAACCCGTGCCATTCTACACCCCCTATTTAACTTCGAAAGCCTAGGAAGAGACCAGGAGTCGGCACCAGTCAGATTAATGCTTTTGTGTTGTATCAGTATGGCCAAAATTGCGTCCCCTATTCAAAGGTTGTCTGGTAATCTGAAACATCGGGCTTTTACCATAAGCTCAGTTGTCGAATGTTGATTATTGTCAGCTTCTGGAGAAGACTGTGGAATAATCGGTTGTCTGGGCACGAGTAATTTTGGTGACCAAGGCTGAATTAGGAGATTAGGAGAAAGATGAGAGAACAGGAGGAAGGGGGGATAAGAGATGAAATCCTCTAAAAAAAAAAGAAAGAACAATATAAAATATCAAGTCTTAATATGACTGAAATATAATGGATGCGGCCAGGGAAAAAGCAGGTTCTAGGAAGGGGGAGAGGAGAGAGAGGGAATACGATCCCTCAGACCCGCAGGTAGATAGGGCTACGGCTATAAATCTGTTAGAGGAGAATTCTAACCCCTATCATTTTAGGACCCTTTAGAGCTAGTACCCCGAACTGAGCCGCAGAACCATCCTGCTCGCGGTTCCACTCGTTGCCCAATTTCCATCCCATTGATCAGCGCTGGAATCTCCGAGATTCGCCGGCCCACGACAGCCAGCCACTAGACTGTGGATCTTGGACCGTGCATCGATCCGACGATTCCAATCAGAGACGTATTCAAGAGTGCTACAAAAATGGCCCATAGGCCCACATGGCCCATAGGGAGGCCAGGAGATATATGGTTTCCGCTCGCCATGTCACAAAATTGTACCTCGCCCGAGTCCGACCACAAGAACTAGAATCAAGATATCCTCCAGCATTGACGGCCGATTAACCACGTAGAATTGATTCCACTCCGAAATTTAGTTAAGGTTTGATAGGTATCTACCCAATGATTCAGATCACGGGCTGTCTGGTAGGAATGTCTGGTAGAAATGCTTGCAGATCCTTCAACCTTGCAGGTTAAGCGGAAAACTACTGAACAACTATCAATAGTCAAACCTTAAAGCAGAATTGGGAAGCCGAGAATAATAATAATAACACGCTACAGGAGATTCAAGTATAAATACCCCGGCGACGATCATCGGGTTCCTCTCCCTTCAAACAGCTCTCCTCAACACCTTTTTTCTGTCACCAAACATCTGCCTCTTCAAAAAGTCAATCAACATGAAATTCACTTGTTTTGTTTCCATTATACCTTTCATACAGGGTGTCCTGGGCTCTGCAGAAGTGTTAGGTGGCTCACCCGCGACAATCAACGACCTTCCCTATCTGGTCAGCATTTCGAGATCAGGCGCATATACCTGTGCTGGTGTTATTATCAGCGGAAACCGTATCGTTACTTCTGCACAGTGTGTCTATGGTCTAGAGTCATCACCCACGAGCTTTTCCGTGAGAACAGGCTCAAGCAATCCGTCTCTCGGAGGACAAGTATTTACGGTATCAAAGATTTCTCGGAATTCTCGGTTCGACCCTGTCACCAATGATTTCGACGTTGCTGTGCTCCATCTACCGATCGCCATCGTTCCCGGTCCAACTGTCAAGCTGGTTGATTTTGTTCAGTCTGGTCAGGAGCCAGAGGATGGCGCTGAATGCGTGGCTTCTGGCTGGGGCAACTTGGAAAGACAATTACAATCAGTGACACTTCCTATCGTGAACCGAGAAAAATGCAATGAGACTTATGCCGACCAAATCACGGAGCGTATGATCTGTGCTGGCTCGGAGACTGGTAAAGGTACCTGTCCAGGAGATCGTGGTGGCCCGGTTACCTGCGGTGGTAAACTTGCGGGAATCATCTCGCAGACTAATGGATGCGACCTGCTTGGTCGTCCAGACGTTTTCATAGATGTCGCCAACTCTTATATTCAATCTTGGATAAAGAGTCAGTAATTACAACTCGTTGCAGGTCTTTGCCCAGTGAAATTCTACGGCAAAAGACAGGGGTTTCAAGGACCGTCACTAATTTAGTGTTGTATTTACTGAACTAAAATATAATATCTTTGAATATAAGCCAATATTACTTAAAAACTAACTTTAGGTTAAATGGAAAGTACAAGAAGAATAAATATAAATACCGGGCAAGCATAACCTAATACAACCATCGCGCCACCAGAGCAGAGTAATGTAGCCTATATAATAAAACCGACTGATCGCCATCTAATGATGAATATTTTGGTATAATAGAGGGTCGGGATACAGTACCAGATATAACTCTTTATTTAAATACGAAAACATGTTATAACACTATTATTATACAGAGAACTTGGCGGTTGTGTATCTTATCCTTAAGAAGTGACTCCAAAGTTAAGTTCTCTACTGGCCCTGATGCATCCCTACCCGATTCGCTCCCGTAGGCCGTTCACCTCCTCGTCTATCCCACAATCGAACGGCCTGTCTGCTACGTCTAGTTACTGCTGAGAGTATGTAGAAAGTAAACTGAGAACATTCAGACTATGTAGGTACAATATGCACACAGCAGATACTACAGAGGAATCACCGTGATGATGTCTATATGAAAACGCTACTTCAATCGAAGCATGGTTTATCTTGGACCTGAGATGCTTGGGAACGTTCGTGAAGGGACTATAATCTGTGATAACTTAAAGGGTGCTTCATGGAGGGCGTGCATATAGCTTCAGTGGTATTTCGTTTTCGTCAGACTCACTCAATAGGGGCCAGACCGAACCGGTGTGACCACAGTAAACCCTAACGGGGCATATGTAGACGGGCAGACCACTGAGTTTGCAAATTCTGTGCCATAATATATAGGAACTAACGGCAAAGGAAGCGATAACTCCTAGGGAACAGAACCCAGTACAAAAAGCGGTAATACTTTATTTGTTTTCTGGTAGATAAACGCTCATTTCAAACCCATTTGTGAAGGGCAAAGTCATGTTGCGAAAGCCATTCGCTGGGTCTCTGAGGTATGCCAGCAAGTCCGCATATCCTTGCGCACCCGAGATAGTGTTGTCGGTAAGGACCACGGCGCCATGCCGCAGACGTGGCTGGACTGTTTTGAGTGTTGGGAGGGCAAGTTTCGACCAGACTAGTCGACGATTAGTTATTGTCCGACGACGATTCTAAGCGCAGGGCCATGTAAGAAGCGGATATACTTACTGTCCAGTAAGAGTAAGTCGACTTCTGGCAGGTTCTCCTTCAGCGTTTCGAGGAGATCGCCCTCGCGAAGATCAATCTCGTTTTCCACCACAGAACCACACTGCTTCCAGTAGTTCCTTGCAATCCTTGCCTTCTCCGGCTCTTTCTCGGTCGCGATGACTCTACCAGACTTTCCTGTCGCAGCCTTTGCTTTAGCTACTGCGAGGGCCAGGTAGATAGTGCTGACACCGAAGCTGGTGCCCGCCTCCACCACGTTGGTGGCCCCCATCGCGTTGATTAATTGATATACAAACTGACACTTGTCCTCATCGAGGGCGATAAATTTATCAAGCATCAGCTTATCGAACTCGGCCGTCGCATCCTTTTCGGGAAGCTTGTCTTCGAAGTCGCCTATGACCGTGGCCGAGAAGACCTTGCCAGTTTTATCAATGGCAGCTTCCTGCTCCAATGACACTTTATGGAGTTTTGATAGCAGCTGTAGCACATGGGATGGTGCATCCACCGGCGATGAGGAGGACATATTGACGTGGATAAGCGTGGGAACTTGACTGAAAGAAGCACTGTTTATGTTGTCTGATAAATACAGAGAGTAATGTATTGACTCAAGTTGTTGCTAAGCTCACTATACTAAACAAAGCAGATACAGTCAGAAAAGCTGGTTGTCTTCCGGACGTTCTATGCACCCAGTTATACAGTCGACGGTCTTGGCTTCTTGGAGACGTGGAGCTATCTTGGTTCGGCCTTTCGGGACTTGAAAGCTTGTCCCTACATCATCGTAGCTCGAGCATTGGATCCAGCGGCAGTTCTGGGTTTGTCTGCGCCCCAAAAGACCCGCTGCCATGCGATCTTAGAGCACATGGGTATTGCAATTTGAGGACCGAACGATGACTCAATGAGTGTGCGATTGCCCCATAATGCCAAGAACACAGTACGTATACTATTTCTGGTGCCCCTCATTTAGGGCTTTTTCGTCGCTGATGAGAGTGGGGAGGGAGCATGCCTTGGCATCTTGGGGAACTGGGTCCATCTACTTCGCTTATACATACGCAGTATATCCTTTTGCAAAATTGCGAAGAACTGTATAGGTATAAGGAACAGTTGAAAATTGACGAACAGTTCACATAACGTGTTAATCTCATGAGTATTAAATTTTTTATTATAATTGATTACATTGGAAGTTCCTTCTCTAAGATGTAACCATATGCTTCTAACACCTTCCCAATCATGCGCACTACGTCCCAGTGGGCTTCTCCGCTCAGAAGTTTCGCCCAAAGCTTGATGACCCGAACACACAGTTCAAAAAGGTGTGGTACCTTGGTGCCCCCTCTCACCGAACAAGTTACAGGGTCTGCTTCTGTTACAATATCATCGAGGTAAGCGATCAATGTTGCTTCCTCCTTATCAAGGGGCACCTCGGCCATCCGATTCTGTATAGCAAACAACCACTTGCTAACCACAAAAGCGCACTCAAGGGCACAGAGCGAATGCTGAAGGGACCATGTAAAAGCCTGGCTCCGCGTCACGATACTGACACCAATCTTGACCGGGATGCTGAGTGCATGCGCAGCGTATAGTACTGCGCGTGCCAGTTGAGGAGAAGGTGTTAGGGGCGGACTTTGGTGCATAGATATCGCAATTTCGTAGGGATTGTGGGTGTTGAGAGCGCGCCACGGGCCCACATCAACAACCAGCCGGATATAGGCCATTCGAAGCAAAGCTGTCGAGTTAAAGGAAATCGGGCCGTGTGGACTCCTTGGACTAAGGGATGATTCTGGGTCTGTATACCATCCATTCTGCCAGTTCCTCAGTGCTTGCTCCACGTTAGCGGCATCTGTAGGAGATAGGCTCTGTTCTGAGCCAGGTCTGCATTTGCTCAACTCGCGTAGGAAGTAGATGTGTTGAATCAAAGCCAATATGAGGGTGTATCCACCCAGAGAGGAGTATCCCTTGAGAACTTCGTTATCTTCCTTGGGCTCTAAGAAGAGACTTGAGAAATAGGATTGAAACTGTGGCTCAGGTTCGGATCTACCCCGGAGTTCCTGCCACTCCTTCTCAGTTCGGGCCGCCCAATCGGCTTCCCGCGAGGGAAGATCGATAATGAGTTCCGAGGTTCGAATTGGAGGTGGGGTGTCATTGACTATTGTGTGGAAATTTAAAAAACAGTATATGATAGCGATTGTCCTCTTGAACCCTTCGATTTGAACCCATTGAGCCCAGGCGATGCCTTCCGGTATCCGGGTTTGCACCTTCAGGAATTCTTCCTCTCGCACGAGGTTAACTATTGTATTTTGCAGGCCAAAAGCTTTGTTGTAGATGGACTTTGAATTCCCCCACGTTGCCATTGCCATGAGCAAGAGCAGTGTTTGTGCGGCAGGCAGTGGGTTGAAGTGAGGGATGCAGGCCTGGCCCGCACTCGAGTCTGACGGGACTTCTGGGGCAGAGAATGAGCTTCTCATCCAAGGCAGGCCTCCAGGCTGCAATTCGCTCGGTGCTTCATCTTCCATTGGAAATGACCTATGGCGCAGCTCAGCTTTGCGATTACGCAGACGTTCTTGCACTATGGCATAAGACGTTTCGAATAGCATTCTCGCGTTATCATATTCAAAATTAGACTGGGCTCCAATGACTGTCATAGCTAGTACTAGCTCAACTGAACACCTTTCCGGTGAGAATGTAGGGACGTGAAGAAAGGGCAAGTGGCGGTGGAATCCCGAGAAGTATGTCCCGAGATAGCGAGTCAAAGTATGGCGTGACTGAAGCACAAACCCAGGCGGAATAAGAGGACTAAAGAATTGAACTTGCGCAAAGAGTCTGTCCCAGTGTTGTTGCGTGATGTTCCATGGGTCCCGGCAAGCTTTCACCGATGGCGACGGTTCAAAGGAAGGAAATATCGACGAGAATTCGCCAAATAAATGCGGGACCTGAGGACTAATTGGGCCTACATCAGATGGAGTATTGGGATATTGCCAATGAATACTGGAAGGCTGAAGGCCCGACTCATCCATTAGGGAGAATGTTGGCAGTGGTAAGGCCGGCTGGTCATAGATCAATGATGAGGGTACAGTCATATTGTCAAGAATGTGAGTGAAGTCACCAAAATTGGGGGACGACTGGTCCCACAGCGCCTGTGACAAGTTGACAGGAGCCTCGACGGACATTGCAGCTGGATTATCCGTATGGGTTCTTGACAGACTTGAGGAAGATTCATCTGAAACGGGAACCAAGCATGTGTCGGAGGTTGGTAATATGGACGAAGAATGACCTGAATCGTCATTGATAGGGAGGACCGTGTCTTGTCCTGCATGGGTATGGCGTGATGTGCTTTCTGCGCCATGGAGAGCATAACCAGAATGCTGCGGCGATTTGCTGCGATGATTCAAAGGAGTCCCAGAGCCATGTGGGGTGGTCGAAGCACCTGGATGGCCGAGGCGTAGGTGACGTGCGAGGAGGTCACTGGTTCAGCCATCTTTAGCCGAGTGTACAACGAAGGAGTATCGGTATCTGCTTTTACCTTCGGGTAAAGGTTTCTGGGCAGACAGTACAACCAAAGGGCTTTTCCTTTGTGTCTGTAGTATGTGAGCGAGTGTTCGCGTCTGTTGGTTACTGGAAAATTTGGATCCCTACGTAGCCGTTCATGTCGTTGCAAGTGCTCATTCGTTGAAATTCTCTACCACAAAATTGACAACGGAACAATCTATTTTTCTTGCTAGGGGAAGACGTATTTTGACGAGTCTGCCTTCCCCCAGCTCTCTCCACCGGTGGCATCTTATGTTTCTTTCTGGCCGACATCGGCAAAGCTTGCCCAGACTTTGAAATGTTCAGTTGAAGAGATTCGCTTTTGACGATGTTGTCCCAGGACCGCTGAGTCATCCTGAGTCACGGGACCCGTGATGTTCTTGGTTTGATACCCATTATGATAAATACATGTCAACCAAAGAGATATTGAGATGTACTGTATAGAGCCCAACCTGTGTGTTATCCATAAGTAGAGCTTAGGCACCACCGGTATGTGGCATGTTGATCTCGTATCGCAAGGAAAAGACGAAGATTTCGGAAAGCACACGGGGGGTAGATTCATGAAATATAGAAGTAGTAATCCAAGGCAGTATGGCAGGAGTACTAGTGTATGAAACCAAGAAAAAGGCCAAAGCTAGAAATAGCAAAGACTAGTATTTAGTAATCAAGAAACGTATCAAGGGAAATAAAAATTACGTAATTTACATTCTCTGGGATACTCGCAAGAAAAGCAGTCAGTGGATTGTGGCCTGCCGGCCCTAACTTCTCGGTCAAAGACCCATATTTACGGTCAGGATGAGACTTGTTGCTCTAATACTATGGGAGACCCCATCTATTATTTAGCATCCTCATGTCCTTATGCGGCATGGCATGCTCAAAAACTTTACGACGTAGAATCGCAGACTGAACATGGCTGAATGGTTGATACGTTTGACCCTGCTTAGGTATAGATGGTGTTCCGTCCGTGGTTAACCGCGGCTAACCTACTTTTAACCTTAACCTACCCTATGTTAACTGTGGCTGGTTATGCTACACTAAAGTTGGTGAGGTTCGATTATATGCATAGTAGTATAAGCAAGTTGAGCAATCCAAGTGCTCGTGATACAATGTTTAAATCGAAGTGTCTGCAAGATAGTTCAATTCCTTCAGTACACCAAATCGAATTCAAGTATCGAGATGGCTAGCGTGCATGACTCACAAGGCGCTATTTAAGAATACGAGGCCATCCACTTTCTGTATTTTTTTTTTCTTGTTTCCTTTCTAGATTCAAATCCTCCCCGAATTACCCACAATGGCCACTCATCTCAACTTTGTCACTCTCGACGTTTTCACCACCACGCCGTTCAAGGGCAACCCCCTGGGCGTCGTCCACCTTTCTCCAAAGATCCCGATCTCCCAAGCCCAGAAGCAGGCCATCGCCCGAGAATTCAACCTCTCAGAGACAGTTTTCATCCACGATGTCGACCCAAGCAACGATCTCGATCCGCACACCCGTCGCATCGACATTTTCACGACGACCCAGGAACTCCCCTTTGCCGGCCATCCCACCATCGGCACGGCCAGCTACCTTCAGACGCAGGGGATCAACAAGCTGATCACCAAGGCCGGCCCCATTGCCATCCGCTCTGATGCAGAAGAAGGCCTGGTGAGCGCTGCTATTCCGCACGACACCCATCTCAACTCGAAAGTCCTCGGCGACATTGAGTCGACCCTCCGTGCGGGCAACGTGCACCCCACGCCCGAGATCCGCTCTGCAGAGCTCCACGCCCCGATTTTCAGCATCGTTAAGGGCATGACCTTTGCTCTGGTCTCCCTCCCGAGTCTGGATCTGTTATCTCAGGTCTACCCAGGCGCTTTCCCTTGTGCGGTGAGCGACCTTGTCGATGTAGAGTGGAGTGAGACATTCATTGGTCGGTACTATTACGTAGTTATGGGAACGAGTGTCTCAGACTCTGGGGTAAGGACGGTTCAATTAAGGACGAGGATGATGGAGAATCAAATGGAAGATCCAGCTACCGGGTCGGCGGCGTGTGCATTGACAAGCTATCTTGCACTTCACAAGTATAGTGAGACAAGGATCCAGTTCCAAGTAACGCAGGGCGTTGAAATGGGGCGGCAGAGTGATATTGCAGTCGAGGTTAGCGTTGATGTCGGAAAAGATGGGGTGAGGAGGGTGAGGGAGGTACAGCTGGGGGGGAAGGCCAGACAGATTATGCAGGGAAGTATACTCGTACCTGTTTAGGCTTCCCGCCTGGTTAGTCGTACTTGAGCCAGATGATACAAGCAATTTATCCCAAGAGCGCTTTAATCTATAAGTCTCTAACAACCCAGTAGCACCTTAATGATTTATACCACTAGTAGTGATAAACAAACAACATCGACATGGGTGACCCGTGAGTACAGTGTCTTGTCTTGGTGCACTTTCGTGCCTCCAGGCTTTTGTAGAATCTTCTTACACAGGCCAGGCTTAATCATCCGGTTTTGGTGTCACTATTTAGTCTCTGATCCTTGAAAAATAATCTAGTCGCGGTATATATCAATGTAGCTTGGCCTCTACCCTGCATTGACGTTCAACCCTTTCTCGCAAGCAAATCTCAAGACCATTCCTCACCATCAAGCCCTCCGCCACTACTCTTCCTTGCCTCATGTTATACAGAATGCCGAATCCTTCCCAAATCGTACAGTTGTAAACGCAAGCAGTAGTGCACTAGGGGCAGACCATCCAGAAGACACTGACCTTACCTTGGGAGGTCTGAACATGGTGCATGGCGCATTGGGTGCAATCAGGGCGGAGAACAACAGAGTTAGTGAATTCCGGTAGAAATGATATATACTGTGGCAATGACTGATTGTGTGGGGCATGCGTGCCACCACTGACGAACAAGTCTCGTCCTAGCGACATTTGTAGTAAAAGACACAGTTGTATCTTTAGCCCACCAAGACCCCTGGTTGTTTGGCAGCGAGTCGAGGGCAGAAGACATTCTTTGAATGTAGGAGGGCTGAGTAACACTGGTCGAGTTCAAAGATCGGCTAAGGGAGAATTTGGGCAGCACGGACAAGGTGTAGAAGACGAGGAGAATAGCTATAGTACAATGTAGTTTGGCAGTGACGGGATGGTGAGGGAATTCCAATGCTGTAGATCCCCAGAGGTTATACAACTTATCCCTGACGATGGGGACAAAGGGCCATAAGTCATGGGTTACAGCCTCGAAACCACCATCGTACGTTCAAACGATGTTAAACCGCTTGATACGGTGGGAATCGTTGTCAATACCAGCCAACAGATCGCCATCCATGATTCCCACAACATAACAAGGTCCAATGTAAATATAGTGTGAATCAATCATTCTCAGAACCACAGGCGTCTCGCAGCCGAAGAGGATGCCGATGATATCCCCTTTGTATATCCCAGGAGGGCCCCACCCAAGATGCCCTTGGGTAGTCTCGAAAAACGCATAGCACGTGCTGAGTATTACAAGCGAGCTTGCGAGTTGGGCGATACCGCTTGCCATCCAATCTTCAAGACCATCAACCTCCAGTAACTCTCTTATTCGAGCTCCATCAACTGCCTGATCTAAATACTGGGTGATCCTGGCTTCCTGCAGAAACTTGGCAGAGTCTTCCCATTGCTGCACCAAAACCATGGCATAAATTGCCTTTTCCAATGCCAAAGCTTCAGGGTTTAGGCCAAGCTGCATATCACTGCCAGGAACTCGGTCAAGAAGTAGCAGCCTCGTAATAGTGAGGAGGGCCCGAGCTCCGCTAGCACCCCGTTGGTCGCTATGAGCCTCGATATAATCTAGCCAGAATTGATCCCAGTTTTCGTTGTCTTGCTCAAAGTTGACGTGCATTGAAACCTCACCCCAGTGAATCCCAGGAGCCTCTAGGGTATTGCCATAGCAAGTGTATGGTGGTATATTCCTTTCTAGAATGAATCCATTGGAATCGAAACTCCCCATTTGGGCGGGAACTGGAGTCCACAGGCCTGTCGTAGACAACAGATCCCAATTTGGGACCCACGAAGGCAAGAATAGATGGTGCTTCGGCAGGTTTGTTGCATCATTGAGTAGGCCATGGCCTGCAAATAGCAGTATTTGCAATCCACCGTCTGCCTCAATACACATCTTTGTAAATTTGCAGTACGTCTCCTCTGCAGAGAGAGAATAGTCCGGGGTTACACCACGGCGCAAGATACTGGCCATACTGTATAGCTTATCTCTAGGGTCTGAGGTCTGAGCGGTCCGTGTGGTTATGAGGATCTTTTTCCAGTTACCTTCTGTGTTGAATGTTTCCGTCCTTGCAGTTTCTTCTAGCAGCTGAATGATCTTAACATACTTCATGAGCTCTGCTAGCCAATAGGTTTCCCGGTAGGCAGGAGTTGATAGATAGAGCCAGATCGTCACATCGACAAATGAGGGGCAATGGTGGGGGCGAAGTCTCATTATCCATGTGCCTATAGCGACCAAATCCTGGAACAGAAAAGGCCTCATACCACAGAGCATCTTGACTTTTCTTGCAAGCACAATCTCTTGAACTATCCATGCCCGGGTCCAATATGGCCGCCACATCAATTCTATAGTACCATCCCAGAATCTATTTCCCATATGGTGGCTGTCCGAGTTTTCTTGCCACAATTCGGTCTGGCTGGGGTCCATCCATGAAAGAGGGTCATCCCCATCAAGGGATGCAGCTATTTTGCCAGCTATATCAATAATCACTTCTATAGCATAGTTGCTGTCATTCGCTTCCACGCCTAACCATGACAGCACCTCATCCGCCGAACGGTAGATTGACGACATCTGCAGTACCTGGCTGTTTTTCTCGTGAATATCCCCTTGATTAATGCAGATGGCATCCACCCAGAAGAACATGTCTGCGAGCTCCCACGTACTATTCGCTTCTGTAAGATCGCGGTAATGTAGTAAAAAGTCGAATAGATTTTGAGTCACCGGTACACTTTGGCCGTTGATGGTTACTGGGTTGCTTGGGGTGTCCTCACCCCACACATACGAGAGAGCAAAATACTTTTGCTCGTGTAATGAGGTGGTAAACATGGTTAGTTGCAGGGTTTCGTCAGGCCTACCTGTTTGTCGGGGATGCAGCCTCAGTAGCCGGATCTCCGACCTGGACGGATCCAGCGGCTGGTAGATGGACTCCGAAGGTAAAGCCATCTCAGGAGGTGCATTCATATCAAATGCTGACTATAAACGCAGCTGGTAATGAGATCCCAGGGATGTCGTACGAGCTGGATGAAGGTCTGTGTAATGGAATATCGCGGGGTCTGGCTTGGCAAGGCTGCGTTGCTTTTTCCGTAGATGCAGGGCTGGTCATTTCCTACGTTTATTTGTCAATTTAGCGAGGACATGAATTCGTCAATGAGCCAGTACAATCATCCGTCACGAGTGATAATGCCCGATCATCTCGAGAGGGGCCCCATTATGAAAAGACGTGGTTAAACATGGCATCAAATCAGACGTCGTGACTAATACCAGGATGACTCTATTCGACGAAATAGCGATCATTTGCCATCTATGGACAGTTCCCTACTAATAACATAAATTCCTGTCCATGTGCAGTACGACGAATATCACTAGTACATCGTCGTCCGGAATCTGCAGTGTAAATGTGACCTGCACTCGCGTTCGCTTTCCATACTTTGCGCCAGGCCAACAGTCTCGGCTTCAATTTCAGTTGGATGGCTTTCCTTGTTTTTAGCTTTTAGCAAAGCTCTTGCATAGATGTCATAAAAGACTCACCTAAATGCCATGCGACTAGTATATGCTACCTGACTAGCTGTTGCCGTTCTCATCTTCTAGGTCGGTAACCAATATTTCCATTCGCTCGGCAGATGGCCTCTAACATGAGCTATGCTTAGACCTCCATTATTTTTGAAACCCTGCGATCCAGATGGGAATTTAGCTCATATTGATATTGATATGCGGTAATCAACTGGGGGTATTGCCCATGCTTAGTAAGAAACTGACGCCATTGCCCTATGTGCGGCATAGGCTATCAATAGCCTATGCCGGATACGCTTTTTACCCGCTTCTATTCTTATAGCACTTGACTTCCAACCCCGGAGTACGTCAAACAACTGCACTACTGATCTCCATTCTCCACCATGCAAGCCATTCGTGTTCATCCCGCTCCTGCGGCATCTACCCCTTACTCACCCTCCAATCCCGCTCCATCCTCGGCCTTACATCTTGATCACAATGTCCCCATACCCAAGCCATCAAAACCTGGCGACATTCTCGTTCGCGTCAAAGCCACAACAGTCATTCGCGATATGCTTACCTGGCCTGAGACTTACTATCACGAATACGCCATAATCGGAAACGACATCTCAGGAATCGTGACAGAGGTGTTCTCACAGGACTGCAAATTCCAGCCGGGAGATGAGGTTTTCGGTATGGCGGCTGCAGATCGCGGATCCACGTGGGCGGAATACGCCCTTCTCAACGAAGATGAACTCGCCCTGAAACCGAGAGCCTTGGCCTTCGACCAGGCTGCGGCGTTGCCTCTTAGCGCACAGACGGCGTATGAGGCTTTGTTTGATCATGGTGGTATCCCTGTGCCTTCGGTGGAGCAGGCTATCAAGAACAAGGCCCGGTCCTCTGGCCAGAAAGGCCAGCGACTGTTGATCACCGGTGCCGCTGGAGCGGTTGGGATTTATCTCGTCCAGTTGGCGTCCGCCGCGGGAGTACATGTCGTGGCGGCTACGAGTTCGAATGCTCGTAATGAAGAGTTCCTTCGAGGCCTTGGTGCTGATGAAGCGATTGAGTATGGTATGCTGGAAACTACCGAGGGGCGTTTGATGTCATCATTGATGTGGTTGGGGGAGAGGTCTTGGCCAAATGCTGGGACTATGTGAAAGAGACAGGGGTGTTGGTCTCTGTCGATTCGGCAAGCTTTAACTTTGTTGAAGAGCATGAAAAACGTGGTATACGCAAGGATGGTGTTCGGGCTTTGTTCTTCATTATCAAAGGCAGTAGCAAGGCTTTGCATTATATCGCCGAACTTGTGGATCTAGGCACGGTGGAGTCTTTTGTCGTGGGGACTTATCCCTTTTCAAAAGCACGGGAGGCGTACGATTATGCTAATGGGCGATATTCTGGACGTGGGAAGTTTGTTATCACGATTTAAATGTCAGGCAGCATGCCGTCCAGTTTATTACTGCTTTACTTTCCAAAGGCAACTCGCTTTCCTTGATTATCAATGTCTGTATGTCAGGTTTACCTATTTTAGCATAACAAGTATGAACAAGTCCACCAATTATGTGCAAAAGCGAGATGTTGTTTTGGCCTCCAGCTTATATTACGCTTCGCTGCCTAAGGTTCTGTAGAAAAGCCCTAACATCTCGTTGTATTTGGGTTAGTATAGTGGAACTAGCCAAAGCCCTTCTGATATGACTCGAATGCCTATCATCCCAGAGCCTATTGCATCCACAACCACAGATCCTCCCGGTACTACATGTCCGGCATGCTGCGCCCCACATTCTATGCTATGACCAATTCCTACTCGTGCACCCTAGGCCATAGTCAGTTTTGAATATTAAAGATCCTAGAGCTCACCTTAAGCAGCGTGATCTACAAGGCACTTGTCTAGAACTGCAATAAAATTCTACTACTATGAGTGCATGCTGTAAAGAATCGCCAAAGGAGCTGATAGTATTCCGTATAATAGCTCGGAATCTAGCATTTAGATGGGGCCTGCATATCCGGTTCGCGACTCCACCCGGTTTCCCGCTAGGCTACGGGCCCGAGCCTACGGCAAACCCATACTCCCTAATAGCCTATCCGAAAAGTTGTGTCACCATCGCAAAATGCTGGGTTAACCGAATCTTACATTCCTGCTCAGTGTATCCGTCGGGCTCTGACTCGCTATTTAAGGACCGATGGCCACGGCCAAAGTTCACTCCGCAACACGAACACCAACAGTGCCTCGAAGCGTGCTATATCTTAATACCCGGAATACTAGCTATCCCTTGCCACAAGCTCGAATAAGTCCAAGAAGAACCCAAGATGCAGAGAATAGTGGTCGTTGGGACCGGCTTTGCTGGAATGTGGAGCGCCCTTGCTGCCATGCGACTGATTGACCTCAACGGAGGGAAGGCTACCGGCATTGAAGTGACAGTCGTGTCACCAGAGCCAACACTAGTCATGCGTCCACGATTATACGAACCCGGCGCAAAAGGCATGAGCGCCCCACTTGAGGAACTATTCCGTGCCACAGGTATCCAGTTTGTCAAAGGTACCGTCGAGACCATCTGCACCCCGGAACGCCTGGTGAAGATTGTGGACCAGGCTGGAGTGTGCTCGACCCTTTCCTATGACCGGCTCGTGCTGGCGGCTGGCAGTCGCTTGAGACGTCCAAATATCCCGGGGCTTCGTGAGCACTCATTCAGCATCGACCAGATCGGCGAGGCAGCGGAGTTCGAGGCTCATCTGCACAGTCTGGCCGCCCGTCCTCCTAGCCCGGCTCGCAATACGGTTGTCATCGGAGGCGGCGGTTTCACGGGTATTGAGATCGCAGCCGAGCTTCCCAACCGTTTACGTTCGATTCTTGGCCAGGATGCGGAAGTGCGCGTTGTCATTATCGAACAGGCAACCGAAATTGGCCCCGAACTGGGAGCCAACCCACGGCCAGTTATTATCCAAGCTCTCACAGAGCAAGGCGTAGAAACGAAGCTTGGAGCAGCAGTTATGTCGGTGGACGACAAAGGCGTGGTGACTACCAGCGGCGAGCGCATCGAATCCCTCACGGTCCTCTGGACGGCCGGCCTAGAAGCGACCCCGTTGACCCAGCAAATACCAGGCGCGAAAGACAAATGCGGTCGTCTCCACGTCGATGCAGATCTGCGCGTTCCATCCGCAAGGGAGATCTTCGTCGCAGGTGATGCAGCCTTGGCCGAAACAGATGACAACGGTCACTATGCGATGATGTCCTGTCAGCATGCCATGCGCCTCGGCCGCTTTGCCGGACACAATGCCGCTGCCGATCTGCTGAACGTGGCGGCTAAGCCCTACTCTCAACCTACTTACGCAACGTGCCTTGATCTGGGCCCATGGGGAGCAGTTGTCACTGAGGGTTGGGAACGCACGGTTAGGTTCAAAGCATCGGTGGCGAAACCGATCAAGGAGGACATCAACCGTGTCGTGATATATCCACCTAGCGCGAATCGAGTTGAGGCATTTGCTGCTGCTGACCCGGACAGCCCTGGGCCCACTTTGACATGATATTACCAGATAGAGGGTTCCATACATCATTTGCGACTATGATAGATCTTAGATGTGTGGGGCATCATGGGATATTCGAAATATCGTCATGATTAGCCTATAGTTAGTTTGTTCAAGCGATACAACAAAGGAAGATATTTCCATCACTTAGCGGACACCAGTTCGTAGCCAAAGTTGAGCCCTAGCAGTTGGGAACACATTGCTAATACCCGAAGTATCTACCATGTAGTTTACTGTCCTACGCTTATTTCTCCCCAAGCCGACCTATTCTGGGGAGGGGGTAGTAAATACTCTACCCAAACAGCACCTCTTCTCTGTGGTTGTTAAATAGACAAATAGTTATGTGCAGGCCCGCCTATAAACCGCAGCTTTAGACCAAGAACCGTCATTAGCAAAGCACTAAGGTATATCTTATATAAGAAACTAGCACTCAGTGTCACCTCGAGCAGAAAGCTCTTTCACTTTTCTTGCCATTTCAACCGCCCCCCACATGTGCCAACTTTATGCATTAGCTTATTTAGAAAAGATTGACTTTTGCTGGTCATGGATGGTCGGGCTAGGCCAGCAATCTAGAAGATCGTATCCCGCAGAGTATATAAACACCGACCCTGTCGAATATCGTATGATCCATATCGTACCCACATTAACAGACTAACACTAGTAAGTAGATCACTAGGGCTGCTAAAAAACATTGTGAAGATGTGCTATTAATATCCTTGTCACCAATGCAAATCATATAAGCTGCATGGTTTAATTAAAGCCCCCTATATATACGGCTGCATGCTGCAGTGAGCTCGGCCTATAACAGGCTCAACTAATTTTACTCTAGCTCAGGTGTAATGCTTTTCACGACAAGAATCTGTCCCGCATCCTTGGTTGTAATAGGGATATTACCTAAAATCGAACCTCCCATGTTTCTACTCGTGTATGTTCATCAAGAATGCAATTCCGCGAGTCAATGTCTGCAATTGAGTTATATCCGCCCCAGACCTAAGAAAGATAGTATCCAAAGTTTTATGTATTCCATAAATGCATAGTCACTTATGCCTCGGGAACCTGCAGCCGATAGGTAGTCTTACTCAGATAAGGTGGAGAATAACCAACTAGTCATCGCACAGTGGGGATAACGGCCTAGTTGACTAGCGCTGGATGTGGATTAGTCCCTGTTGCATAGCGGGAAGCCCGTCAATATCAAATCTAGTTATACCCTAACACAAGTTACAGCTCCAGGGTACCTGACAGAAGAACCGTTGAATCTGGCCATCTCCCAGCACTAGAACCAGGGATTAGCGAACAAGTAGACTTCCAATACCCTCACACAATGCATACCACCTTCCAGAATGAGCTTGATCGGAGCTGACCCCGACGGAAGTGGAGATGGGGACCAAAATGGGGCCACGACCAGGGCTTATCAGCAAACTAGTTTAATTACTGTCTTAGCCCCCGCGGACGACCGACGGGCCACCGGGGTATTCCCCGCGCAGTGAGCAGGCATAAATAAGAGGATTTTGTTCCATATGGCGACAGGGTCAGAGACAGGCAGGTGTGTGTCAAGTTCGTTTCCTCGGATCTCGATATGCAGCTGCAGAACCTTATTCTCGTTGGCTCTCTGGCCGCAGGAGCAGTAGCAGGAGACTTTAGGAGACAGGCTGCCACCAATGGCACAGGTACTGCATGTGCACAGATCAGCAGCAGGGCGGCTAGGACTTTAGCGGCTTCGCCATCAGGTGGGTTTCGTGTGCGTTCTGCAAGAGCCTTTTATACTGATTTGCATCGTGTTGCAGCTACCCCGGTCGTAGATGGTGAGCTTGCTCTGGCTTGCTTGAAGTCTGTTCCTCTCGGCAAGGCGCAGGCCCTCCAGTTGATGGAGTCGATTTTCCCTTATGTGGAGTGGCAGTCTGGTAGGTTAACTCTATTCATCCTATCGGTTGTGCTATATAATCAAGAATAACTAACAATCCGCATTAGATACCTCGTATATCAAAGATCCGCCCCCCGCTTATCTCGAACCGGCAGTGGATATCTGGGCCGAACTGAACAAGGTGTACGAGAATATCAAGTCCGACGCATATGCCGGTGAATACGAGTTCCAGGCGGATCTGTTCAAGGCATTCAACCTCGCCCATGACGGACACTTCCGTTTCTTCCCGGATCTGCTGACCAAGGTCCTGACGTTCCACCGCAACGTCGGTCTGGTGTCCGTCAGCTTAGACGGCAAGGAGACTCCCCAGATCTACGTGCACAGTAAGATGCCTCCTCCTGAGTTCAGCAGAAGCCCTGCAAACAATAGCACTAACTTCACTAGCCGATATTGTCGGAAAGGTCGAGAACGGACTCGATCCCTCGCCAGTGAAGTCAATCAATGGAGAAGACGCGGTGAAATTCCTCGAGGACTGGTCCCAGCTGGGCAGTCTGAACGACCCCGACGCACTCTACAACTCACTTTTCTTCTCGAAGCCCTTTGCAGCAAGCACCCCGGACTTCGATGGGTACTTCTCCGGAAGTGCCCGCTATGGCTACATCTACCCTGGAAACACAACGACGATCGAGTTCGCCAACGGAACAAGCCGATCCTACCGAACCACCGCACAGATCAAAGCCGATCTCACTGGAGTGACCGACGGACCAAGCATGTACCAAAAGTTCTGCACAGGACCCTCCAGCACGGAGTCCGCAGCGTCAGCAACATCCTCTCCAGCAGCAGCGGCCACCGCTACTCCAGCACCCGGCTACCCCGACCCCGAAGTCATCAGCTCGGACAACGTCATCTCCGGCTACTTCCTCGACTCGGACAGGAACTCTGAAGTGGCCGTGCTGAGCATGTTATCGTTCGAGCCCAGCACGCCCGCCGAGTTCCAGGCCGTCCTGGAGAAATTCCTCCGCCACGCCAAAGCCGCCGGCAAGACCAAGCTCGTCATCGACGTCTCCGGCAACGGAGGTGGCTACATCCTACAAGGCTACGACACCTTCCGCCAGCTATTCCCCAGCATCGTGCAAGACGGATACACTCGCTTCCGCTACACGGAAGCCCTAGCCGCCATGGCTGAGCAATTCGCCGCCGTCCTGCCCGAAGACTTCAACCCGGACAACGCCACGTTCGACGAGATCCAGATGTTCGAATCACCACCCAACTACCGCTACGACCTCAACCTCCAGAACAAGCACTTCACCTCTCTGGAGGAGAAGTTCGGGCCCCACGAATACAACGGCGACCAGTACACCAGCATCATCCGGTGGGACCTGGACGACCCGCTAACGACCGTCGACCCGACATACGGCATGGGCATGGAGATTACGGGATACGGCACGCGCCGGAACTTCACGCAGCCGTTTGCCGCTGAGGACATCGTCATTCTGTATGACGGCTACTGCGCCTCGACGTGCACGCTCTTCTCCGAGTTCATGCGTCTCCAGGGCGGCGTCAAGAGCATTGCCATCGGCGGTCGGCCGACCTCGGACCCGATGCAGGGGATCGGTGGGATCAAGGGGTCGAACAATTTCGCATTCTCGTATATTTACTCGCTCGCGCAGTTGGCCATCGAATCCGCTACCCCCGGCCAGGAACACGCGGCGAACTGGACTGCGCTCACGGAGCTGAGCGAGCTGCCCACGAACCGCTCGACCGATACCTCCGTCAACGTGCGCGACAATATCCTCCCTGAGAACCTGGAGGACGGGCTGCCGTCGCAGTTCGTTTACGAGAAGGCCGACTGTCGTCTTTTCTACGAGCCGGAGATGATCGTAGACGTCACCGCGATGTGGGAGGCTGCTGCCGATGCGGCATGGGGTAGCAAGGAGTGCGTCAACGGGCACCTCGATCTGAAGAAGCGGACGGCTACAAGAGCTCGTCGGAGTAGGAAGTCCCCACCGCGCAAGATGACCGTCAAGGTGCCTGCGAATCCGGTCTCGGATCGCTCGCCTTGGTGGACACAGAAGCATGGCACTCGGGTGCCGCTTTGAGTATGTGCCCTGGTGCATGTTCAAGATACATTGCCGCCGCCCTCCCTCGGCTCGTGAATTAGATGTAAAGTATTTAATTGATATTTCCAGAATAGTACCTAGCATGAGTATTTAATCTGTAGCGGGGACTCTTTATCAGGGAGAGCGATAGGTCTAATTTCGTGGTCGTCTGAAGCATTCCATTTCGCTACCAAGGCCCAATTAGCACAAGGACGATCACAATTGTCAAAGTTCAATGAACAGCCGCTGACCGCAATAAAAGTTATGTACAAGACAAATTCGCATTAGGATGGACAGTAGTATTCTGCACATGGGTATAAGACAAAAGATATTTTAATATCACACCATCCTTCTGGGTTTGATGAAGATTTCATATTGAATAGACTTGCAAATCGCCGCGACTATTATTATGAACGCGTATCCACCGGCAGCTCGTGGGCCATTGTAGTGGGACCGCCGGATAGTTCTGAGATAACAGGGTTATGATCAAGCTCCACTACCGATGTACCTTTCACCTCTACAGCCGGTGTGCCAGCATTGGGGCTTATCACAGGGGTGACCAGTTCCTGTCGTCGTCGTCGTCGACGCAGCAGGAGCCAAACCAGTGCAACTATAAGTGCAACGCCAGCGCAGCCACCAACAACGCCGCCGGCAATGGCACCGGCATGGTTAGATCCTGGGTCAGACTTGGCTTCTGTGGGGGAAGGGGTCTCTATGTTTGTTTCGGTTGGTGTGGCAGATGTGGATGGTGTTGGTGATGGTGATGCGGATGGAGTGCCTTGGTATAGGGCGTTAGCTCTTCATGCGTCGATATCATTCAGTTCTAAGTGTCGCTCACCACTGGCAACGAGATTGAGTAAGCTCTGAGAGGGATTATCCAGGTCCCCACTGTCCGGGTCTGCGCAGGCGATACCTGCTCCACCTTGGGAAAATGTTTGCACAAAGCCCCGCTTCCCCTGTAGACAGCAAAAGTAATCGCCATCATTGTTATACAGATCCCAGGTCTGATTGTTGGCGCAGTGCGGATCTTGTTCGATTAATGCCTTGCACCCTGACTTAGTCCGACAACAGACGTTTCTATCATTATCGCTCCTCTCAGATGGGCAATAAGTGTCCTCAGGACAACAGTCATGCCAGGGACCCCACGGGTTGGCGCATTTCTTCTCATTTGCCGCACAGGTGCCGTTCCTCCGAAGCGTGTACCCAGCCGGAGGGCTGGAGTAGTAGTCACTCATCTTTTGTAACAGTGTGAGGGTGGGAGCTGTTCCAGTCACCACCAGAAGGCCGTGGAGACAAATTTTCAAGTCTCAATATGTCGCAGAAGGGACGTTGAAAAGATAATAGGCGGGAGAGGAGTCAATGCACAGATTCCCGATCGGGGGCCAAAACAACCGAGGGCTTCAGATGCAGATCGTCACTTTAAAACTCGTATTGACTGACTGGGGAAGTAAGCCCAAAGCACCGGAGCCTCTTGGCACACCATGACCCCCACAATAGCATTCCACCCAAATAAGGGTCTTATCGAGCCCGGAGCCTGTCATTGTTTTGGTTGTGTGCCTCGTGTCGGCCGCTGATTCAGTCTTTGTATGGCCTTCCATATAGAGTTGAGGGCCAGCAGCGGAGTGAAGAACGTTATAGATAGCATACATTCGTGAAGAACAACTGTCTAAGACTATAATTTCACTCAATGGACAGTTTCTCTGTCCTTTCAGCCAAGAGCGAAGAGTGGAATCCCGGTCAAACCAGGACAACCATGGCCACCTTGTCCAAAATAGGGCCTAGGATCTCCATAGCCAATTTTTCTTGTTCGCCTGTCTCAATATGAACACCTGTCAACAGGTACATCGTCTCGGAAGGCAACATACTGTCTACAGTTTCAACCGCTTTTCTGAGGACATGAACCAGCCCCTTAGACTCCACTGATCCACTAGGAAATACCTGTATGTAGTCCCTCAAAGAGTCTTGCCAGCGCAGTTTACTACTCTTCCATTCTCGCAGGGCAGAATTGGAAGCGTGCAATCTGTTGTGCCATTTTCGGAATGTTGTTTGCCAGATAGAAAACTCATCATAGGCATACATTTCCTGCCACACCATCCAGGTTTCATTGAATGTCTTCTTGACGTTTTTGTAGTTCTTGACAAGATTTTCATAATCTCGGTTGGGGGGCTCCCGTCTATGTGGAATGTCAGGGTTGAGCATGGACTCACGTCCTATGAAATCTCTCCAGAGCGCCGAGTTGGCAACTTGCCATGCTTCTGCCCGTTGGTGCCAATAGTCAGCCTGTTTCTTCCACTTCACACCGGCCAGTTTTAAGTCTTCGCGTGTCTTCTGATGAACGCTGATATGTGACTCGATTTCCAATCGGTTGTAGTTGGAACCAACATCTTCCCAGTCATGCATGGCTTCGCCGTCCATCAGTCTATGAACATAGCAATCCCCAAGGATCTCATGTGCCTTCATCGCTAGCCTAATAAAGGGATACCGATACCGCCCCCCTCCCACCCCTCCTACGCCAGTGGGACGCCGCCGGAGAATGAATGGTGTTTTAGCTCCTGGGAAGATGCAAACAGTGTCATCTATCTCGGTGCCGACAGGACCGAGGCCAGTTCTCCCATTAGCTGTAAAGAAAAACTTTCGACGGTATGTAGCTTGCATGATAAAACTGCGAATGCTACTTGAATACGAGTCATGGGCACCTAGATCCGACACATCTATACCCAGGCTATTTAGCTGGCGGCCTAGCGAAGTGTCAACTGGAACGCTATGGTGCGATACTTCCTTCGCCAACCAAGTTCGGATAAGATCTCTGTCTCGAGGAGACAGTCGTCGACATTGGCCAGTTGCGGTATCAGAGACAAGGTCAGCGCATATTGTGCTCTCGAAGTCTTCCCAAATGATTGATCTACCCATCATCGCATGCCAAGCGATAATCGTTGGAATCAGTTCTGTGTCAGACCACATCGTTTCCCCGACTACTATAACTGAGTCAATTAACAAGCCTGGCAATGAGACGACCCCTTTTCCATGGTGTCGCAAACACCCGGGTCCTCCTCGAGTATTGTAGTACGCTTCAATTACTTCAAGGCACTGCTCACGGTCAATGTAGCCGTTCTGGTATGCACGCAGTGGGTCAGCCCACGGTGAAGAAGCTAATGAGGGCCAGTGAGTATGGATCCAGTTACTGATCACATCATCCGGTTTGTCTCCCTCTCCTTGTTTACTGTTAAGTTGGGTGATGTATTCGTAGACAGCGCTCAACTCCTTCGATGCTTGCAATTGCACATAGACTGGCGAACCTTTGCAAGCATTGTAATATTTCACATTCTCAATGCGGCTTTGTATGAAGGCGTCTGGAGGGGAACTCCAATCAGGAATCCACGAAGGAAGTGCGTTGTTGTCCTTCATTGTGAAATCCCCCGCCAAAACATCGAGGCTTCCCGATCTAGATATGATATCCAGCGTCGTGTCAGTTAAAACATCCAGCTCTGCAGCCCCATAGTTAGGCTCAACCGAAGGTTTGTCCTTGGCAAGGCCAAGCAGAGCATAAACCTTATCTCTTGGGTCTGTCGCCTTCCTGCCGCTGAATTGGCGCAGGAGCTGTAACAATGTTATCTGCTCGGGACTCTTCCATCGGTTTCGGATGGACTCAATACCGCGAATCCGTCGAGAGAATTCAACTAAAACCTTCATGTCGCTTGGCGTGAGTGAGGGGATCTCTTTCCGAGCATTTTCCTGCACGCGGTTCGCAGCTTTGACAAATGTCTCCCATGGAGCGATCATAGAGCCGTACAAGATCATTATGCGGCTGGCGATGACCACCTCTTGGATGACCCAGACTCTTTTCCACCAGCTGACTGCGGAAAGAAAAAGTCTTAACGCTTCCATCACATCCTCTAAGCTGCCTTGATCAGTACCCGCTATAAACCTCTTTATATCAACCCCGTCTGCTAGAAATTGAATGAAACAAACGAGATAGCTCCCATCCTTATGACTCAAGGGTCTTCGCCAGACAAGGCCCGTATCTATCTCGTTGAAAGCCGAAGTAGAATAACAATCCTTGGGCGTCATTGTATGTGACATGGCATCTGTCGTGTCTGAAGGAGTGGTAAAAGATTGGGAAAAGCTCGGAGAGAATGCATCGCCCAGATAAACAACCACCTCTTGGCTTTGAGCGTAGATCTTTCCCATCATCTTTACTTGTTCCGTTTTCTCTTCATCATCCGATTGATTTATGCAGACAGCATCGACCCACAGGCAGACAGCCTCATTATCATTACGTAGCTGCCGTAGAGCACGTCGGAGATGTCTAGTGATATGTATTGGAGAACCATTCAAGCAGATCGGTTGTGAATGTTTCGACCGGCCCCATACATATGATAGGGCCTTGTATTTGGGATTCCCATCGAGTGAGACGATACGCCATGTACAGTGGATCGGGTCGGACCACTTGCCGGGCAGGAGGTTTAACAGTCGTATCTCATTTGGGAGGAGCTTTGGGGGCTGTTCCATTCTCGAGAAGGAAGTATCGAATATGATTAGAGAGCAAGGTAGGGTTCACTCCGCAGCATTTATGTGGAAACTGCGACTGACGGTTTCATTGAGATGCATCCGCACTGCGTCAGGGACGGAAGCGATTGCGCTCTTAATGTACTCTGATTCTGAGGCTTGGGCACTATTTGCTTTTTCAGCCGTGCACAGCCTCTGTGGCTGCAAGGTAGAACACGCGGATGACTTCCTGTTATCCTCAGCTTCATCTATCATACAGTGAGAAATTGGCTGAGCCACAGTGCTGTGCCACATGGCGATATATGCCAATAATTCTCATACTTATATATTTTCTACTCCGAGAAAACATCCGGCAATAACCTCCGCCTTATCAATCAGCCGATAAGCTCACGAAGCTCTCCCCTCATTCCCTCAACCCCGCCATATGCAATATATAAATAGAGTCACGCCATCATACCCTCATTAATACCACCTCCTTCCTCTACCCCCAATCCCCCAGAAAACGACCCAAGAAAAGAAACAATGGACCCCAAATCCCTCGCCCAGTCCCTGACCCCCTCCAAAGTGCACGCCGCTCACACCCTCATAAAACCGTACATCCACCGCACGCCACTACTGACCAATAAAACCCTCAACGGAATAGCCTCCACGCCGCAAACCCCGGACGCCTTGAAGGGAACGCCCTACGAGGGACAGACACCCGCGAACCCGACCATCCGATTCTTCTTCAAATGCGAGAATCTGCAGCGCATTGGCGCGTTTAAGGCCCGGGGCGCGTTTCATGCTTTGCTGAGGTTGATTGAGGAGAGGGGTGAAGAGGAGGTGAGAAGGAAGGGGGTTGTTACGCATAGTTCTGGTATTTTTCTTCTTCTCTTTCTTTTTTTTCGATTTGTTTATGGTCTTTATTTTATTCTTTAGCCTTGGTCTATGTATTGATCGATTGATCAACTATATGGGTTCGGATCATCGATTGAACAGAAATTAACAAGAGACAGGAAACCACGCGCAAGCCCTAGCCCTAGCATCCTTCACGCTGAACATCCCCTCCTACATCGTCATGCCTAGGATCAGCACCACTTCCAAGATCGCAGGGACAAGAGCCTACGCCAAGGAAATCGTCTTCAGCGGGTCAACAAGCACCGAGCGAGAAGCCGTCGTCGCCGAGGTCCAGAGCAAAACGGGCGCCATCTTAATCCCGCCATACGACGACTTCAACATTATCTGCGGTCAGGGCACGACGGGTCTTGAAATCGAAGAGCAATACCTGGAACTGCTGGCGCAGAATCCGCAGTTGAGTGCCCATGGTTCGTCCGGGCCGAGTTTGGATGCGGTGATTACGCCTATTGGTGGTGGGGGGTTGAATTCCGGTGTGGCGACTTTCTTTTCGGATAAGAAGACGAAGGTTTTTGGGGCAGAGCCGAGTTTCGAGGGGGCGGATGATTGTCGACGCGGGTTGGAGGCAGGGGAGCGAGTGACCGCTGTGAAGTCGTTGACTATTGGAGATGGGTTAAGGACACCCGTTGGGCTGTTGAATTGGGAGGTTATCTCGGATAAGAAGAAGGTGGAAGGCGTGTTTGCGGTTACGGAGGAGCAGATTAAGGCGGCGATGAGGCTGGTGTTGGAGAGGATGAAGGTGGTGGTGGAGCCGAGTTCGGTGGTGGGTTTGGCGGTTTGTTTGTTTAACGAGGAGTTTCGGAGGATCGTGGAGAAGGAGGGTGGCGAGGAGGGTTGGGATATTGGGATCGTGTTTAGCGGAGGAAACACCACCGTCGAGGCTATCGCGAAGTTGTTTACTTGATTCAGGGCATAGATGGTGGGTGTGGATGTCTGTTGTATAGAGCACGTCTCCTGTACACATATCATACTTGTGATACCAGTCGGGTCAACAGCATATAAATCTCAATCGAAGTTCACTCCGTCCGTCCCAACAGAAAACCCAAACATCCCTCCATCCATCTCGTCCAATCCTTCCATCACTCTCCGGGGCCAATCCTCGCGGCCCCAGCCGTTCACCCATCCGACAAACCGCCCTTTCATGACAACCTCGTGCCGCATCGGAGCCTCTCGCTGTGCCTGATGCACCGTCATCGCAGGCAAAAAAGACCGAACCACATCCCGCTGAACAACAAGCCGCAAAGTCGGAAACACTCCCCAAGGCCCCGGAAGCGAAGACCGGAACGACGGAGTCCTCGAGACAGGGACATCTGAGGGGTCAAACAGGGGAAAGGGTCCAGAAGGCCCGGACGTAGAGAATTGACCGGGCATGGACCTCCCACTCCATGCAATGGTGGTGTAAACGACTGCACAGCTGAACAGTCGTTGCAGGCGTTTCAATTCCGCGACGAGATCCGCATACATGTCGAAAAGATAAAAGCTCTTCCTTTCGCGCCGTTCGCTCTCGATCTCTTCGTACGGACGTCCGATGTCCTCTGTACGGGCAACTTCGTCGTGTAGTTTGTCCAGCCAGAAGAAGGCGCTTGCACTGTCGATGATGATGGCGTGGAGCGGGCGAGTAGATGAAAAATGTCGTGTCAGGTCGAAAAGATAGGTGTCCATGGACTGGAGCGTAGATAGAAGAGCGGTGGAAGACTGAGGGCGGAAGACGTGCACATGTTGCAGCGAGGTCACCAGCAGGGCGTTGAGGTCTTCCTCGGTATACACAGGCACACCTGTAGTTGTCACCTCTACATTCTCATTCTGAGTCTTGAATTTCTTGCGCACAATTCCCCGGGCCACGGTCAGAAGTCGCTCAGCGTCAAAGCGGCCATCCGCATCGATGAAGACGACTGCAGACCCCCGTCCGAGCTTGACGCCATGAAACTCAGGCGGTAAGATCGCAATGGCAGTCAAGTAATACAGGGTCTGGGTTTTGCCGGCGCCAGATGATGTGCTCGAAATCTCCACGACTGGGTCCGTATTTTTAATACGGGCTGGTAGGAGGGTCTGCTCTGTGGTATAAGTGTTTAGATCATGTTCTGGCTCCGATCGGACGGGTGGTCCTTCGTGATAGAGTTGCTCTTGCGCCTCTTGGTCAGCAGGAATGGTCGGCTCTAGGGGTTGATGTTGTGCTTGTGTCCAGGGAGCAACAGCAGGAAGTGGCATAAATACTCTCAGCAGGTCATCAAGTGGTTGGATTCCGAGGCGCTTTCTCGGGGTGTCATTGCTGCTCTCATAGAGGCAACTCAAGTCATGCAGGAGCTGTCATAGTATTAGCATGAACTCATTCAACACATAATCATCCAGCTGAACAGTAAATCGAAGCCTCTAGCTGCATACATAAAGCAAGAGTATTAGAAAGAAAAATACGAACCTCGTCCAAACTCTCCTCATGCACCTCCGCCAGCAATTTCTCCCCAAAGTTCGCGGCCATTATCACGGCCCGTCCGGACGATCATGAAAGCTGTGACATGTTATAACTTTAACAATTAATCATTAGCCGTCTACCAAGCGCAGTGAATACCAGATATACGTTATGGGGAGTGTATCACCCACCACCGAGAGAGAGTGACATAAGGACTTGAAGATAGTAAATGGAAGATGAAACGATATGCAACCCATCGGCATCGGATCCGACTCGTTCCCGCCCATGATGAATTCAACGTACCAAAACCACCCCGGAATAAACTCCAATTAACTACACGCCAACGCCCCAAAGCCACAAACCACAATTCCCCCTCTTCAATCCAATCCACTCAATTAAATTACTGGGTCGCCATATAAATACGAAGAAATTCAAACAATGGCCCCCCTCGTCCCGATCTTCTCCGCCGAAGCTCTCCCCGACCATGTCAGCATCGTGCGCAAAAACTTCCAAGAACGACGTCGCAAGGGCGGTCCCGTCGAGTTGGAAAAATGCAAACTCATGGAAATGGTGCAGTACTCGTGTAATCCGCCGCAGGATGGGATCCCTACGCCCGGAGTGGTGGTCTGCAAGCCGGTCGTGCGGTTGTTCAGACGGTACGCCTTGCTCGCCTTGTTTTTAGTTATGCTGTCGCTGACGGTGGTCTTAGATGTGCCAATGGGTTGACGGTGGAGACGACAGCGTGGGAGCCGATCAGGTTGGAGGAAGAGGCCAAGCGCAAGGCTGCAGGGAACAGCTCGAACGTGGACAGCAAATGAAGGAGGGCCGTCTATCTTACTTGCATAGCTACGGTGTTGATTGGCGTTCGTTCTACTGGTTCTCGCTAACAAGCTGATTGCTGCTTATAATTTGCTCAATGTTTATATTAAATTCTGCTGCATGGGTATCTTCTCGAATACGGCTATAAAACAAAAGTCAAACGCCCGACGCCATTCCGATTTATTTGTCCTGGTCCCATCGCTCATGTGCTCACCCAGCTATCCACTCGTGAGATGTCCGGAGCTTCTTTATTACCCGATGACCTCTCCTCGGGTCTTCGATTCCCAGTCGTTGTCCGACGCCAAAAGTCTCTCTCGCAGTTGATGATCGGTGGCAGTTCTATGCTCAACGACACCTTATTCCGAGACTTCACATCCGGGTCGACCGCACCAGAGTCAATCTCCATAGGGGTGGCAGCACCCTGAGTCGTTGTATTCTTCTGCATCTTCTTCGCGACACCTTTAATCGTCTTCTCAAACATGCTATCCATCGTCTCCGTCCTCCGACCCCACGGCTTCTTATCCCGACCCGACGAACCCAGCTGGTTATCCTTGAACGCTGCGCGTGCAAGCTTGCGCAAGGCCTCCTCACCATGTCGACCATCCTCCGTTGCCCGCTCCCGGATCTTCCGCGGGTCTTGTTCGCGCTCCGTGAATACGGGGGTATGTCGGTAGGTATGCTTACTAGGGAATTCGGGGAAATGCTTCGGGATGTATGCGCTTCTCGCACGATCGTCTTCACCACTGAGTTGCGGGCCTAGGGACGGTAAAGTTTTAAAGCAATCATCTTCTTCCGGCGGAGGGCTCGGCAGGAGCGAGGGAACAGGTTCGACATTCGGTAGAGTTTTCACATGAGGCAGGAGATCGTCCACGCGCACACGGTGTTTCTTTAACGCATGCTCGAAATCGTGGGGGACGGGTTGGGTGCGACGAGACGAGAGCATCGACTGGCGCACATATGACGCGAATTTCAGCAGATCTAAGAACACAGGCCTAGTCAATATCTTTCCTCATGACACCTTCAGTTACACCTTAACAAGCATACACTCTTCGGTCGCAATGCGGAAACTCTCCAGCGCCGCTGGATCAGCCAGATCAAATCCTGTTTCTCGTAGGGTCTGCCCGATGGAGCGGCTCATTAGGTGGTCGACGTAGGCGTCATCGGGAATGGCGGGCTCCGGAAGCGCAGGATTTACGGGCGTTTGCAAGCGATGGTGGTGGTGATACGGGCGCTTTATGCGCTTGCCATCAGGGGCATTCAGCTGCTCCGGCAGCGACGAGGAGGAACGTTTGACCTTGGGCTCGGCGGCGAGCATGGCGGATTATGTTGATGTCGTGGAGAAGGGCCGAAGTGACGGAGACAAACAGCAAGTCTGCTGGAGGGTCACGTGGTAGCCATCATCGTGCCTGAGGCAGAAACAGTCAGTCCCTCGAGATGAGATGCAACTCAATTCAGCAAGAAATATAGAAGAATTTTAAAATTAAATGTTTATATCGTAAATTTAAATCTCTCACTTGAATCCCCATACCCCAATCCCCCAAATCACCCCCACCTATATAAAAGAAAAAAATCAAATAAGAACAAACGAAGTAAGGAAACAGCCGGACGGCAACCAACCAGTCAGGCCACTCAAAGCGGTCGCTTACGCCCGGAACGGAAAGCTTCAACCTCGACTTTCAACATCACATCACCACCATCCTTCCCTCTCCCCTCCTCCAGCTCCCACCACCACACGCACCCCAGCAGACCCCAATATCTGCTGAATCGCTAGGCCTCCGCATCCTAAATAGCGTCAGACCATCAATCCCTCACAATGGCTGCCATCGCCCCCATCACCGGCGTACGTTCCTCCCACCATTCAACCTTTCTCCTCGGCCTACCCCAGACTTCCCACCTGTAAGGTGACCAAGAAACTAACAGAGAACCATAGATGCTCCGCCGGACCCTCGTCCTTGACCTGAGCACCGCTTTCGGTAAGCCATGATCCCCCCGGGTCGGGCAACGCAATGCAATAGGATTCAGAATGTCACCCGGTCTGCCGGAGCCTCGAATTCGGATCCAATTACCGCCAGCAATGCGCAATCCCACTTGGAAACAATCACGTCGAGAAAGCAGACACTAATGCCTATATGTCCAGGTTTCGGTACTACCTTCGGTTACCTCTGGTGGTACGGTACGTATCACTCATTCACCGACTGATTCCTCGGAAAGGATCCCCAAACTAACATGAAAAAAAAGGCTACCACCTCCCCCGCGTTCGCGCCCGTGACAACTACTACGTCCGTCTGGAGCAGGAGCGCGCCGCTGCCCAGGAGTAAATCTTCGAACCATGACTGTTGCATGAACCTCGCTCGACTGGATTTGTCAAGGATAACCCGATGATGCTTGCTTCCTTTCGGTCCGTTTCTCGCCGGTGATTCGTTATAGACGCTCTAGAAGGAATGGGACTGGTGTTGTTGGTTTATTGGTCGGGTTGGGGGCATGCTATGGGAGTGAGTCTGTGAGGTTGAATTGAATGTGAAGTATTTCATTTGAGGCTTGCAGTTACTATGGGATAGTTGTTTGAATAGGGTTGTATATATACTGGTTTTGTGTCCCGTGGTAAGTTTGTAGATTTTGGTACTTGTGCATGGTATGAGTGCTGGGTGTATCAATCCTACCTTAGTAAGTGTCTATCCCATCCCCAGACCAGTAGATCAAGTAACACTGCCTATGCTGTGGGTTACTACAGAAAGGGAGCCCAATCAAGTCATTTCTTTCGTAAGAATCTATCCAGTCGCTAATTAATCCATAATATACTGTAATGCAAAGGTCTCAAGAAAAAGCGCAAGCACCTCCAATCCCATATGCATATTTCCGAATGCAGACCCGAATATATCGATCATTGTACTATCCGAGTTGATACTCCAAACCCTAGTCCTGTAGGGCCACTGATGCTTAGCCGTCATCGATCTATCGATCTATCCCACTCATGCGCGATACAGCTCTCATTTCATCACGCGCTCGTACTGTACATTCCGGACGGTGCCTCCCGTCATCGACGTCCGAACGTTCCGTTTGAACGTCTCCCGGTTCTGGCGGAGATCATCAGCCGCTTCCTTATTCAGGGGGTCGGAAGCGTTCGGCTCGAGGAAGAGGAACTAACGAGACAAAGTTAGCACATAAACCCAGATGACCAGCCCCCAAACCACCGCCATCAAATTCACCCTCCAAAAATGGGCACAGAAAAAGAAAGGAGGGAAGGGGGGGGGGGGACAAACCTGCATGCCAACAATAACCGCATTCAAATTCAGCACGGGCTTCCAATCCTCCCTCAGAATATTCAAACAAACATTTCCCTCGAGATCAATATTGGGATGATAGATCTTCTGCGTACACTTGACCTTGGGTGGGTCATGCGGGAAGTTCTGGTTCACGTTGAAACTGAAATGGAACGCGCCGCCTTTATACATGCCCTCGTCGGGTTCGATAGTGAGGGTGAAGTTCAGGATGTCGTCAGGGTTGGGGAAGGACATTTTCATCGTGCTTCCGAGGGTGAGTTCTTGAAGGTCTGTTTCATATTGCTTCTTGTTAGTGCCCCCAGGGTTCTGTGTCACTGGTGGCGGGGTTGGGTTTTACGTACCCCGCTGGACGCGCAGCTGGGCGGCGGTGACCTTCTTTTTCTTCTTGCCGGCGGCGCCTTCGGCATTTTCAGCCTGCTGCTGTTGTTGTTTCTGGGGTGGTGTTTGGTCAGTTATTGAGAGTCAATATCAAGGGTGCTGTCGTTGGAGTCATAACAGACCATCGACCATATCTTCAACATGTTGGATCAACGCCACAAGCCTGTGGATCAGGGACGTTTTGGGAGGTTATACAGACAGAGGTTTGGTCGGCCAGAGGAGAACTGGTATAAATAGGGTCCTCGGAGACGACAAAGGACCAGGGTCAACAGTGAGTACCGATCCACATGAGGCGCAAAAGTCACGAAGGCGGAGAAGCGATTTGATGAACTGACGCCATGCGCCAAGCCCTCGGATAACGGAACTAACCGATTCTAGAGAACTTCGGGAGCCTAAGAGCCTCAGGTCCACGATTTTATTTTTGTTGAGTTGCGCCATCAATGCACCCTATTGATTCTAACCGCTAAGACTTTATAGAAAACATAAGTGCCTGCGGCCATCTCGACCGCTTAAACCAAACCATGACAGCGAAACGAAAACAGTTCGAGTAATCGAAACACAAAGAACGGATCGTATGTAGAATACAAAATTGCGACAAAAATGTGCCAAAGAATAACTCCTCCAGCCCCTGTAATCCACATAGGGAACAAGACACCCAGTTTTTCATTACAAATCGTGCCTCTTTTCTACCGACGAGCGAAGCAGCACAAGAGACCCGTCTTACCCAGGAACCAACAAGCACCAATGAAACGGACAAGTGCAACAGCAGCGTTCGACCACAGAAGAGCCTGGAAGAAACGCGACGTACGGTCGGTAGCAGTGTTCTGTAGAAAAGGAAAGACGTTAGTCCATTGGTTCGGCCAAAGAAGAAATAATCAATCACTATACATACCGTGAATCCAAACTTGTCCATACCGTCACTAGTGATGCACACAGCCAAGAAGGCATTACTGAAGATCCATAGTGTCACGAGACGGGTACGGAAACTCTTGTAGGAATCATCCAAGGACTTCTCATCCTTCTCCACAGGGGGCACGTAGGGAGTGAGAGCGCGCTTGACAGTGGCTTCAAATTGACTGTCAATATCAGCCTGGGGCTTGTCGATTTCCTCAATGACGGCTTCCTTGCCACCTTCCTCCTTCGTGGTCGTTGCAGACGGGAGCGCATCGGCTTTATCAGCACCCTTAGTACCCCACGAGACATCGTGCCAGTTGCTGAACGCGTACACGTTGAGAACGTTGATGTAGGATGACTGAACGAACATATAGGCGGGGAACGAGGTGAACATGTGCCAAGGGTCCAGGTACATGAAAGAAGCGACGAAGTAGAGACCGAAAGTAGCAGCCAAGGCGATGATGATGATACCGGCACCGGAGGACGAGAAGAACGACTTAAGGAACTCGCCGACACCCTTATCGGTGACGAAATCTATCGCATCACTGCTACTGAACGCACGAACGACCAAGTACAGAGCGTCGACGACAACGTAGATCTGAATGATACCGAATACAACGAAGGACGTCAGGTACGAGAAGCGAGATCCCTTGGGACGGTTACCGAGAGCGAGAATGAACTGCAAGAGCAAGAAGCCGAGGTAGATATACTTCACAATCGTGTTGATAATAGGGGTCGCCGATTTACCGAAGGGGAAACCCTTGTTACCATTGCTCTCACTGGGCGTTCCAACCAAGTCCATGATGACGGTGGTAGTCAACCAGTATGATGCCAGGGAGAACCATGTAAGGATAGTGTTGAAAACGTTGTACAACATCTGAATGTGCAAGAAGAACATACGGATGATGTTATGTCCACTCTTGTACATCCGACCGAAATGCATAAGCGAATAGAGACCGGCTGCGAAAGAACCGTTCAACCAACGACGACGCTGAGAAATGAATTCCGCAACACCTTCTGGGACATCAGTTTCACCCTTGGAGGCCTTGACGTAGGACAAGTGCCATTTGGAGCCAGCCTTGGCGACCAATTCGAAACAGAGAATACGATCTTCGGCCAAGAACATGTTCTTCTTGAAGATGTTCATACCCTCAATACCTTTCTTACCCAGTTGCTTCGAGAGCGTGTGATCACCATGGAAATATTGCTCGAGGGGCCGACCCATGATAGCACGGAAACGGTAGGCAGAGAAAGCACCAGGCAACACACTGACATAACCGAATGAACTCTCGAGGGGTTTGTCGAGGATATTACTGATCTTGTACTCGAAGTTCTGTGCCGCGACCAGGGGGTTAACCAAGTTTTTCCAGCCTTTACCCAACATTGCGTGAATTTCACCACAAGCACCTCCCAGATCCTTGTCGTTATAGAAGCCCTCCCACAACGCTAAGAGGGACTTCTGGCCGGGCTTGGTACCGGCATCCAGAAGGATACAAACTTCCGGATTCAAAATACGACCAAAGGCGTTGAACAGCCATCTGTGAGAGTTGATCTTTTTGCTGTTCTTCTGCTTCAAACAGAACATCATCTGCACGGGGGGCAAGGTGGTCGGGCCATCATCGGTGGGCCGGATGAGTTGCTGGTTCGGTGTCACGGACAATTGGGTCGTGTATTCGAACTATTTTCCGTTAGCTCACGCTCGTCGGTCATAAGCGAATGAAGCTTACAATATGAGCCACGGTCTCCTTGCCGTCGACGTCACGCTTCATGACACCGTCCTGATAGATACCGATGGTGGCGAGGACATCCAAAGTGTCCTTATCACAAGGATCAATACCGTCAAAGACCAAGGCGACCACAATCTTCTGCCAGGCCGGTCCACCCTTGTTCCAGAACTCAGACTTTTTGAGGTTCACAATATCGCGAATGTTCTGCATCACACCGTGCAAGGTACGAGAGGTGAGAGTCTTATCTTCGTTATAGTAGGTAACCGCAATCAACAACTCGGTATGTCTGTTATACATGGCAGGACGCAGGTTGTAACCATTGTGCAAAGTAAAGTCATTGGGATCACATGTCGCAGCGGTGTCTAAAGGTGCGAGATGACAGATTAGCTCCCATGCGACACTTTATGGACTGCATTTCAACTCACATCGCATGTGGGTAAACTCCTCGCTGCCACCCTCCAGATCATTCCGGTACTTGGCTTGAATGGCATTCTGGATAGCACTGGGGACGGGGTAGTCGACACTGAGGACGGAGCCCTGAACCAGCTTGACCTTTCTGGTAGCGTAACGTCTGAGACCACCGCCGCCGGCACCTCCTGGAGCCTGGCGCTGGCGCCATGCTTCCGTAGAGGAGGTTTCACTCCGAGCGTAGGGAGAAGCTACACGACCCGGGACGCCAAAGGCAGCCGCGGGGTTATCTGCCGATTGGCCGGAATAAACCGAACCCGTCGTGCTGTAAGGGTCATGAAAGCCCGCGTCCGGAGCATATGTTTCCGTCAAGCTGTATCCCGACGTGGGTCGAACGGGCGAGGTGCCACGCTGATGAGGGTCGTCGAAAGGACCACCGAAAGGGCCGCCCTGTTGGTTGGAAAGCAGTCCTCTTGACGCTTCTTCTTCATACTAACGAACCGCACAGTCAGCTCATCCAGAACCATTCATGTCGCTACGAGCTGCGGCGGAAGCAGAATCAAATCCTGCATCGCGGTCATAGACTTACAGTGGCGCCTTGGGGCAGGTCTTCCAGTCGATGACCGCCGT